ACAAAGCCTGTTTGAAAGCATTCTTGTATATGCCATGTCCCTTCAGGACATTGGCAATCATGGCTGTTTACAATTCCCTGTCCTTTTGTAATAAATTTTGTCTTAATAAATTTTGTCTTTTTGCTATCTCTCCTAAACCTTGTTCCATCACCCATTTATTCAATCTCATTCTTCTCAGGTAGGTAGGTTATGCGTTGTTTTCCTCTGTCCCTCTTGCCTTCAATCTGTCCTGTGAGTATCAAATTTTCCAAGCTCTTTCCTCATGTGCCCTAGAAATTTCAACTATATTTTCCTGATGTTAAGTATAAGTATCATTTTTGTTTCCATTTTTCATAAAACTTTGCTGCTCACATGTTCAGTCCACAATATTCTTAGTATCCTTCTGTAGAACCACATTTCTATTGCTTCAATTTTCTTCATCTGTGAGGAAATTGTCCAGCACTCACTACCATATAAAGAGGACTGACATTGCAAAACAGTTCAGTTCTCTTTTTATTGTTCCTAATGAAATTTTCCTGTTTGATTAGCTTCTCGAAAGCATCTTTCACTATTCCAATACATCTTTAGATTTCAGTGTCCCACTTGCCATCATCTGTTAAAACACATCCAAGATATTTAAATTGTTGTATTTGTTTGATTTCAATATCTCCAATTTGTAATTTGTATGTTGGGCTGTTGATTTTGCTAATAACCATGCATTCTGTCTGCAATTGATATTTAGTCCTTTCTTCTTGCTTTCCTTCACTACCTTCTGTAGGCATTTTGTATTTTCTTTTCTGTGTTTGCTATTAATATTGTGTCATCTGCATATTTTGCGTTAAGATTGTGGTCACCAATAATGAATCCTGGTAGGACTTCTAATTTTCTCAGAATTGCCTCGCTGTATAGGTTGAATAAGTCTGGTGATCAGATACATCCTTGTCTTACACTTCTTTCAATGTTATACTCCAGTGTGGTTAGATATTTTTTTTTTTTTTTTTTTTTTTTGATTCACTCTACATGTTGGTCAAATGTGCACACTAAGAAAGCAAAACACAAAATAAAAGGGTAGTTTTTTTGCACAGGGCCCCATGCCTCTGATCCATAAAACAAATCCCCGCAATAAAATACAATAGCAAATGCTCCTGCCAGAAAAAAGATAACCTGGAGACTGAGATCTGCTTAAAAGAACACCCCTTGTAATGACTGACACAATTGTGAGCTGAAACACCACCTGATCAGTTGGTGTCACTGTCATGATTGCTTCTTTCATCACAACCATGACCTCTCTACTCCAGGCCTCTTTCATTGTCAGCACTGATTCATTGATCTCTGATTCAACCAGAATCCAACAGACTTTCTGCTCAATCAATGTTTACTATCTACAACTAATTCCTTGTCACCATCACTATAACCTCAGTAACTAATACATCTTACAATGAATTGACCAACTGACTTTACCAGGCAGTTTGGCTTCTATGTCTTAGCATCATATGACTACCAGCCCATCAAACACGTCACAGGTGTTGATTTCAACTGTCACTATCCACTCAAGGCCCAACCATGACCCAATTTCAACCACAAAGTAGGGCGTATGTCAAACCCCACCATCAAGTAATCTACTCCAGACCTATCCTCTAATGCCAACTGTGATCTCTGTCAACCAACCCAAGAAATCAATCAACTCCTGGCTCTACCAACACCACCCTTACATCTAATCATATCTTTATGGTTTTATCTAGCAAATACACTAAAGATTATATATTAAAATGATTCAAAAATATTAAAATAGTTTTGAATTTCAACTTTAAATGTGTATCTAAAAAAGATCAGGTGATACTTGCAGATTTGGAGATATATACATTCTAAAAATGAGATTAAAAGCTTTTAATTATTTTTAATACTTAATTTATGTGTATTCGCCAGATAAAAATATAAATTATTTAGGGGGTTGGGAAACTCATTGATTTTCCTTGTTTAGAAGAAATTTATTTGCAAAACCCCAATAACAGTTGACTGGTGTACCAGAAAAGAATTGCCATATTTTTAATTATTTTAAACATGAGGGGTTTCATTTTTTGTTTTTTTAAAAGCAGATTATTATCAGCATATCTGGATATAAATGAGAGAATTCTTTCCCTCTAAATAAAATAATCACTTGAAAACAAGTGTCTGTCAATGTCAGACAGTAGTTTCAATAATTTGAAAGTTCTTTTACCACTCATACTATCAGTTGCTCTTTTTTTTTTTTTTGCTTACTGTATAATTTTTGTAAGAATTTACTTCCGCAGGTCAGAGAAGCAATTAACATCTTCCTAGTTGTAGTTCAAGGTGTCTTCTAATGAGTGTACAATTTCAAGAATATTGATAAAGATTGGTCACTTTAATTTTGGGAAACGAAATGTGTAAAATTTAGTCTCGGAAAAAAAAAAAATAATCATATTTTGCATTTTTGGCTGGTTGAAGCAAAATACCATTTTAACTCGCTGTAAAAAATAATTTGATGAATAAAAGCACATACAAATTACATATTTACAAAGATTATTTTTTTTCTAGCCATATGAATATTTTTATGATTGGACCAGAAATACATCAGAAATTGTGAGTTGAATGGACTAAGTTGCAAATTTACCAATCTCAAATGAAAGCAGATATTGACTGGATATGCTATTATTATACAAGAAAATGAATGGCTTCCTTAGAAAGCAAAAAAACTGAATTGAAAACTGCAGTGTCAAAGAAAAAAAAAGTGGGGGGGATCAATACCAAAACATAAATTGCCAAACCGACCAACTCTTTTATATATATATATATATATATATATATATATATATAATGGCGTGTACTGGCTGTTTAAGCTCTCTAGATCACAGTGATCCGGAGAAGTTAAACTCCGCAATAATAACACATGAGGGCTGTCATTCAGAGTTTCCATGGCAAGTCTTTTGCACCATTAGTTTTTCATCGACATATCCAAAAAGTGTGGATGGTCCTACACAAGCCTTCACCACTTGAAGGAAATCATTGTGTTGGTTTTCTGACAACTAAATCTAATTACAGTATTTACATTAGTCGGACTATTGTCCTCATCTTTGTCGTCGTATTTGTCACAACGTTTCGGCCGTTGTACGCGCCGTCCTTCTTCAGGTGGTTGGAATTTCGAACTGAACCCTTTATTTCGATCACTGGGGTAGACTGTTCTAGTTCCACGTGCCATGTTTGATGGATGTCAGTTATCAGTTGAAGAAGGCCGGAGCGTACAATGGCCGAAACGTTGTGACAAATATGACGACAAAGATGAGGACAATAGTCCGACTAATGTAAATACTGTACATAATACCTCATCTCAGAAATATAGACAGACTCTAAATCTAATTAGTTCCACATAATTCAACAGTAACAATGGCTGGCCGAAGCCCTAAAAAGCAAACAAAAATTTAACCTCATACTTTGAACTTGATGCAAGAGTCCATCATATATGATTAATAAACAATAAAATCCAAAATCATCTCGTATGGGGAATAGCCTATTTTGATAGAGAAAGATATCAGTCTTCTGTTTTATCAACCCCAGTGTGAACTGAGTTCATGTCGGAAATAGAAATTTAACTGTGAAAGCTTAAAAAAAAAAAAGTAAAAAAAAAACTAATACAGAGTTTATCCATTCCAATGTTTCAGTTAGACGAAAGGCATGAGACAGGGGCTAATTAAAATATTGGAAAAAAACAAATAAATTTATTAGACAAACCAATATTATATTCCTCTGTCATGCATTAAAAATCTCTAAACTTAAAAGCCTAGTACAGTGGTTCTCAGATGGTGTGCCTAGGTGCACTGATGCACCCTGGAAGATGTCTACGTGTGCAAAAATGAATAAAATTATGGTATGTTTCATTTTATATTTTTTTATTACATTATTTTTTTTCTGCAATATTTGATTTCATTATAACATATATTTTCTGAAATTTGTATATAGTGCACCTACAATTATTGGTAGGATTTCAAGTGCGCCCCAACTTCAAAAAGTTTGTAAACCACTAGCCTAGTGTTTAAGCTTGATATAACCTACTGTTGTGGAGTATTTTCACAGTGGAGGCTTGTATTTCTAATAAGTTGTCCTAAATTAGGTCCGACGTACAAAATGTTAGGAACTTGGAAAATAAGAGTCAATGGCGCAGCAAATCTAGTTGTGATGGTTGATACTTCAAATGTTCGAATCTCGACTGACGCGCCCATTCAGTATTTATCGTTCCACTCACGAGGACCGAATATGGCACAAGGCCGGTTTTAATGTGGGTATCCCCGAACCCGTAGGCCCAGCCAAAAATATAGCCTTTGAACCCGCCTAGACGGGTTCAGGTCCTGTCTACCTCCCCGGACAAAACCTTGGACTTCGGCAAAGCCTCGTCCGGGTTCCTCTCTGCTAACGCAGAGAGTTCGACAGAAGGCGTGCGCAGTCAGAGACCGCTCAACACCATTCTGCCAGACTTGCTACTCCTACTTATTATCTATGGGAGAGTCCATTACCAAAGAATAGGTAGTATAACACCTACACTCGGATGCTGAGAGCTATACTTAATATATATTGGAGGCATTCAACTAAACCAGAGCTCTATGGACCCATCCGTGATATTTCTACAATCTTACACGTATGCAGAATGCACTTTTTAGAACGTTGTTGGCAAACAAAACAAGAACTTGTGTGATCTACAATTCTGGACACCTAGCCATGGAGCAAGACAAGTTAGTCACCCAGCAACCACCTACATTGGCCAGCTATGTTATGAGACAGAATGCCATCCTAATGACCATCTGACCTTGATGCGGGACTGATGGTTAGTGCAATACTCATGAATGTCTGAGCTAGCTCGACTGAATAAAAATTAAACAGTTATAAATTAGTATCTTGTGTTTTCCTTTGCAACACTAACACGTACTGAGAACTGTTTTTATGATTTTTCTTTAAAAATGTTTCAACTGCTTGAGTTAGTTTTTATTCTATATTTTTTCTTCTCCTTATAGAGTGAACAGACCTGCATGCGTTTGAAAAATAGCATCGATATTGAAGAACTGCGGAAAAATTCTGAAATCACATTTGAATTACAGAAGGATGATGAGTGTAAGTCTGCTATAATTGGGTATTATTTCATAATCTGCCAAACAATTTCTGGAGAAGCAAAAGTGCAGAATTAAAGACAGCTGTCCAATTTTTTTATAAAATTAGCATTTGTTTTTAAATAATAAATTTTGTGATTAATAATTTTTAATGTTAAATTAGTATAAATCCTTATTTCAGCTTAAAATTAACCATTTTTTTAAAAGTGAAATGTTATATTTGAATTCTGCTCACAATCAATGCCAGATAGGTTTTGAATATTTCTATAAAATGTGTGATATGTAGCAAGACAAGTTATAGTCTGACAAGCTGTTAATTGCAATTTGAGTTGAATTTTCACTGTTCTATATGATTAATATTCAAAATTGAATAAAGTTGATTGACAAAGATATAGTTAAAAATTGTTTTAAAAAATTTTTTTTAAGGGACAAGACTATCAGATTATGCAAGGCAGTGTTTACAGAATAAAATTGCTGTTAACAAATGTTGATAGAATTTTCAAGAAATAAGTACAATAAATATATCACATAAATTTCAGCTTTCTTAGAAATATTTGCAATAATTTGATGGTGTGAGATACAGCTCAAGAGTTGTTCCTTATATTGTCTGTGTGTATGTTATATATATATACAGGGTGCGATGGGTAAATTATCGCCATTTTATATTTTTGATTTTGTCAATTGCAAAGTATAGTAGGGTCAGTTGGGTACAGTCTATGAGAAAAAGAGCACCATGACTCAGTTCATTACACCAAAAATTTGAAAACTGTGTGCTGCACTGATTGACATTTGTGCCAGAAGCTCCAATGTGAGCAGTTCAGACTGGGTGTCAATCTGAGGACAGTGCAGGGGATTCAGAAAGAGTTGAATGATATATCCAGACAACATCATGGTGTTTAGTGTGATCACTAGTGATGGCAACATTATGCCTCCATTCATCTTCCCACAGGGCCTCAGACTCAACACAGAGGCCTACATCAAGTGCCTTGGGTCAAGAGAGGAGCTGCTGGAAGACCTGATGTCTGGCAACAGGACTCTGCCCCATGTCATATAGGCAGGAGAACCCAGTCATGGCTGCCAGACAAATTCTGTGACTATGTCACCCTTACACTTGGCCATCTAACTCCCCAAACTGCAACCTCCTTGATTATGTGTTGGGTGCAGTTGATTGAGAGAGAGCAACAAAACTTCTTGCAGCACCAAAGATGACTTGAAGGCAAGGATCATGGCAGCATTCACCAACTTAAACAAGAAAACTGTCCAGAAGAGTTGCAGAAGTTTCTGAAGTCATCTGGGGGTCATGGTTGAAGCCGATAGCTATTGAATAAATTTTCTCTTTAGTAATTCAAGATATTTTTGAGGTTAATTTTGGTAAATATATCTGTTAAAATGAGATGTCAGTGTTTATTTTCATTATTGTGTAATTTAGATTATAATTTATCCATTGCACTGTCTCTCTCTCTCACTATATATATATATATATATATATATATATATATAGAGAGAGAGAGCTCCTGCTGTGGGTTTTGATTGGGCCTTCATCACAATAGGTAGGGAGGTATAGATGAGATAGGCAAAAATAAACTACAGAAGAATTCAAAACTCATCGCTGCATTTAAGTATTGCATTAATATCTAAGCTTACCTTTTAAAAGTTCAACGATGATTCTTCTGCCGCCACTTAATTTAAAGACAGTTTGATGTATGTAGGTCCTTACTTTCTGTATAAGCACTTACTTTTATTTTATTGGGTGACTTTTTCTGGAATTTGCAATTCACTTCAGTTATTCCCAAATTTATTTCCAAGTTATAAAAATTGTTATTGTACAAAAAATTTGTCGCAAAAAATCTCGTTAAAAAACAATTACAGTAATGAAAACTTAGGAATCCAGAATTTCAGGATTGTGGGTTCAAATACAAACAATATATAATATTTGCTCAGTCATCCTGATTCCAAAATGGTATATGTTTGGCCTCTAGGAGTAAAGTTGAAAACATGGACAATTCTATTTGAAACACTAATTTGAGAACAGTAATTTTTTTCATTTGAAATGAGCTATTGAAAGAGAGTTGTGTCCCTTTTAAGTTGAAAAAGTGTGACACACTGACATTTACATTTATCATATAGATAGGGTGGCTTTCAAGCTAGTCTATCACGTGGCATTTAAAGTAATTCCTGCAAAGGTCTCTTGATTGAGCCTTGGACTTGTTCAGGAGTTTGAGAGTCCCTAATTCTTTGCATATTCTCAGCATTGGAAGTTGTCCTGGCTGCCGTTTGCTCTGGGTCTTCATTTGCATGGAATTTTCTTTTCCTTTCTTGTTATCATACAGAAAATTTCTAAAAAATTGGCAAAAATTGTTGCAGTAATGAAAACTTAGGAATCCAAAATTTGTGTAACATGAGCTATTGAAAGTTAGAGAGTGTCCATTTAAATGAGAAAGTGTGATACACTCACATTTGCATTTATTATATATATATATGGCCTGAAGCATGAAACAGGGTGACTTATTGGAAATACCAGATGCTGTAATCTTGGATGTGTGGGTAGTATAATGGATAATGGCTCGGAATTGTTAATCAGAGAGCTGAGACCCAATTCCAGTTGGGTTTGTTATATTCACTTATGCACAAATACCCTTGGGAAATGTTTGAATCCATCTCTTCTCTCCCCCCCAGCTATGGGTTAACTTATAAGACTTGTATCACTAACTCATTATTATCTCCAAATAAAAATTCTTACAATCTAAAAATATTTTCTGGCTTTTAATAACCTGTAATGGTTTGATAAGCCATAGAATATGAATCACTCAATCAATCAAGCATGAAACACTGTTGTCATATGGTGTTGATCTAAGTGTCTACTTTTATATATGCTCTATCACTGATATTGAGCATTTTTATCCATAAATAAAGCATACATTAAAACTATATTTTTATCATTCATATATATATATATATATATATATATATATATATATACACACACACTATAAATTATTTAAAATATGGTTTCTTCGCTACACAGTAATAACCATGTTTCAAAAACTGAAGCTAAAAACTTTAAATTTAATTATATAATTAACTTAAAAGCATTACTTCTGTTTCATCTTCAAGCGAATTTTTTTTTCACAAATATATAAAGATTGCCATGAATTGTAAGAAAGATATAATCCCCAAAAAGAAACAAGATATAAAGTTATTGAGTGATGTTGGAAATTGTGAAAAAGTTGAACAGATGTCACCAAACAATCAAAAATAAGTTGAAAACATTAGTACGATAAGAATAAGAAAAAAGAAAATATTTGAGAAGACTTAAAATGTTAATAATCGAGAAAAGTGGATTAACCAGCAAGAAAATGTTTGAAAAATCTAGTGTTAGAGAAAATATAGAGAATATTTAGAAGATTAACTAAAAAAAAAAAACCATGCAATCAATCAAACTACCGTTTCTTAAGTAAAAATCATAAAGAGGGATATTTAAGATGGACAAAGTAGTTCACAACAATTGTTCTCAAAAGTAATTTTAGTGATTAATAGAGAGCTACATTGGATGGATTTGATCACTGGTTCAAATTGTGGCTCCTTCATGAAAATAGTTAACCAATGTACCTTAGAGTGGTTGAGAAATTTTTTTGCTGCTAGTATTATCAGTAGTAAAGTTATAGTTGCTTTTAAAGTTGATGACTGTCTTATGATGAATGCTGAGAATTATAAGTTCTTCATTTTTTTTTTTTTTTTTTTTAATGTGGGACAAGTTACGTGACAAATGAAAGAGTTTCTTCATTCAAGACAATGGTCTTTCATATTCTACAAAGCTTACTTTTGCTCACCTTTTCAGAAAATGGCTTTAAAACCATTGACTTTATCGAATGGTCGCCAACCACTCCAGATATTAATTCAGTAGAAAATTTGTGGTCCATCATTAAAAGAATGGAAAACCATATTTAAACAATGGATATCTCTATAGCAAGTAATGGTAAAGTCAAAACAGTAGAAAAATTGAATGATTGAAAAACAGATGAATGTTACTGAATGTCTAGGAGCCGATATTAACATGTAAAATAATATTTTATTCAGATCAATAGGATATTGTGTTCATCAAATACATTTCTCTAGTCAATAACTGGGATTTTATAAACAAAAATTGATGTTGCACTTAATTTGCTTATATAATATGATACTCGTATGCAAGTTTTCATCCCTGTACAGGGTGCGATGAATAACTAATCAGCTAAATTATGCAAAAATGAAAATAACAAAATCTCATTTTAACAGATACATTTACCAAAATTACACAAAAATATCTCAATCACTTCAGTTATGTGACATGCATGATACACGTTTAGGCGATCATGTATCTTTCAATGCATGACTGACAAGGCAGATTTTTTCCCCACAGTAGGTTGCCATTTCTTTCTGTGGTAGACCAGTTGCCATCCAAGGCTATAGACCCTGGTCTGTCCTGCTATTTACCCATAGCTGGGGGGTTAAGAGGATTCATACCTTTCCCAAGGGTATTAGCATGTAAGTAAACATAATGGATCTGACTGGAATTTGAACTCAGCTCTCCGATTTCTCAATCTGAGCCACTATCCATCTGTGCCTCTCTCTCAAAAGTATGGTAGGTTGTTATATATATATATATATATATATATATATATATAAATGCATCCTCTGAGCAGTAAAATATGGCATGTCTGATTAACATTTTTGGTAAATATTCCTGATTTCAAGGATTGCTGATAAGAAATACAATATGTTGTCTTGGTTTCTAAGTCTAACCTGATGGTCAAAACTAATTTAAAAAAATAGATTTATCTTTTGTTAAGTATCTGTCTATATTTCTGAGATGAGGTATTATGTATTAGGTAGGTCATCTTAGTTAGATCCATTGATCAGGACCCAAACTTTGAGTTCACTCTGGCCTGGTTCAGGCAGTTGGAGATGTCGAACTGAACCCTTTATTTTACTCACTGGGGAGATCTAGTTGACATCCATGTTAATGGACATGTTATCTCCTGTTAACTAGAAAGTTCTCTGCCTTAACCAGGTATTGAACTAAAATAAAGGGTTCACTGGATCTAATTAATACCTACCTGAAGAAGGCCGGAGTGTACAATGGCTGAAACGTTATGATAAACATGGCGACAAAGATGAGGACAATAGTCCGAATAATGTAAATAGTCTATCTTTTGTTAAGTTTGTAAATTCTTAACTCTCCTGTTTCTGCTTTTGAATTTGTAGCTTTTGAAATTAATGGAGAGAAATTCTCGTCAGAAGCTTTCAAAGACATGTACCTGAACATTGCACCAACAGAGGATGATAGAGAGAATTTGTTTTCAACATCATTTGAAAAAATGGCTGAAAATATGACTGATATATCTGGTGATGGTGGAGTGTTGAAAAAATTACTGAAACCAGGAGAAGGCCCTATTGTTCCAGAAGAAGCCATTGTTAGAAGTAAGTTCTTTGTTTTTGCTCTGCCTTCTTGGAATTTTGAGGTTGGCGCACTCATGATTTGTATGTTAAATTATTACTTTATATATTGTATACAATAGATTGTTTACTATATTAGCATTGCCAGTTTCATAGCCATGTATTTATACCAGTTTTGTATATTAATGAATTGAAATATTTTTTCTGTTCTAATCTCTCTTGAAGAAAGATGTGATAATGAATAGGAAGGAGTAGATATGATCAAAAGTATTAAGAGAAAAAATAGCATTAGATTTTTATAATTTTTTTCATATAAAAAATTATAATGCCATTATCTCCACCAGTTTCATCTGACACCTTTCCCCCCCCCTCTATATATCTAAACAATAATTATAAAGTATTGTTGTAAATAGGAAAGATTGGCACGCATATAGAAAACAAGTTTATTCCAGGGAATAATATGGTATTTGGTTCAGAAGAGACACTAATGTAATAAACAGTTAATTGTTAACTCCTCTATCTCAGTAAAAGTGCTGTTTAAATAGTATTAGATCAGTCCATCTTGTGGGGGTGTTAAGCTACTCCACAACATAAACTATAATTTTGTAAAGTGAAGATGTTTCTGAAATGTTTCAAGTTTTCATCTGAAACCAAGAAAATATGAATTTTAAGCAAAATGGTCACAATATATGAAGGTGCCGTTTTAAAGCAGAGATCGGTAACCTTTTGGAGACAGCGGGCCAGAAAGCTATGCAGCGTCTTGGAGGAGGGTCATGATATCAAATGTAATATAATAAATTATTTCAACCTTAGACAACTCCATCCAGAAGGCTGCCTTGGTCTGGAGGTTTAAAGAAAAAACAACAAAGTTAATGTTATATTAAAAAGGAAGTTCCTTATTTTACTGCAGGAATAAAAGGATAACAACACAATCAACAAAAAAATGAAAATTCTTTACTACAAATGAAATAAAGTTAGAAATAGCAAATTATTTAATGAGACACTTATTTCTGCTTATTGTTCGATGACATGAGAAAAACATCATCAAGGTGGTCATCACCCAACCTTTTACTTAAACGACTTTTAGTATATTTTATCTTCAACAAAGTTGTCCACAAACATATGTCCAAACCATTCCAAACCATTTTATTTTATTTCTTGTAGAAGTCAATGTGGATAATTAAATTTTTTTATTTTTTTGCTTGTAAGTCAATTAAAAACTGATATTTGTCTTGCTCCACAAATTAATTAGATAATTAATGTTTGTAAATTGGAAGGCCAGACAAAAATTCTTTGCGGGCTGTGCCAACCTGCCAACCTCTGGTTTAAACGGATGCTATGAAAAATGTTGTTGAAAGCAAAAAAAAAGAAAAACATTAATGAAATATAGTTTATCTTGTGAAAATTTAAAAAAAAAGCATGTAAGCCTATAATAATTGATGCAACATAACATTGTGGATGGATATTTTTCAACTTAAGTCGTATTACTTTATCATTGATCACTTGGTTTGTGTGCTGAGTTAGCATCAGACATTTTATTAAGGAATTGTGAGCCTGGATTGATATAAGTGTAAATCAAGCAGTAATTATTTTTTTTTTTTTTTTTTTTTTTTTATTGATTAAAAGACAATAAGTCTTTAAAGACAAGTCTTTTTTGCTTTTCATCTTCAGCTCATTACAATGGCTTTGTTGAATACAATGATGAACCATTTGATTCCACAAGACTTCGAGGAGAAGTTTTCAAATTCAGGTTAAAACAAGGTAAGTTTTATTTCTGTTTCCGCATAAATGCTAATAAACCATTATTCTCATTTTTGTCACCTTTTTCCAGATTCCAATAGCAAAATTAATTATCTTTGCTTTACAAAGTCCAAACATCATCCTGTGAAGGTATCAAATGGTTATCAGGTTAAAAAAAAAAAAAAAAACTCCCCACAGAGGTCAACAATGTTACTTCACTATGTAGCAAGTCAGGTAGAAATTATGCAAACCTTGGGTAACTTTAGTGTTCTGATTAACATTTGATATTCTCTTCTGTTTTTATGTCACAAACTATGTTAAACTATAATGTGCAATGAGTTTTGGTTTATGATTCTTATATATATATATATATAATGTAGTAAAGGTAATGAATTCATTGGTATATAATCCAAGTAGATTCTAGTAATATAAAATATTAAAACTGATGCACAAAAAAGAGCTCAATGTATTTATTATTACAGAGCAAATAATTAATACACAATAAAATCCAAAATCACCTCATATGGGGAATAAGCTTATTCTGGCAGACGTAAATGTAAGTTGTCTGTCTTATCAACCCTAGTATGGACTGAGTTTGTGTCAGAAATAGAAATTTAACAGAAAGCTAAAAAAAAACAAAAAACGACCTAAAAACTAATACAAAATTTAACCATTTCAATGTTTCAGTCAGACAAAAGGCACAAGACAGTGGTCAGGGGAAGGTGGAAGGTATTTGTCTTAAAGGGAAGAGGTTTTATAAAATTAAATCCAGATAGATATATATAAGTCAGAAAATGAAAAGCGATTTGGAATGAAAGTGCATTATGAATAATAACATTGTGGGATTAGTCATTTGCTGAAGAACTTCTGATAATAACCACTAGATATCATTGCCAATGCAGTATATAAGAACAGGACATGAAAACTTTTTTTTTTTTTTTTTTTTTTTTTTTTTAACTCATGTTATCTCCCTCATTTGTATTCTGGGGCACCTTTTGGTCCTTGGTAAACCACATGTTACACTGAATACAACACCTTTCAGTATACAGCATGAAAATGCCCTAAGCTTACTTGACTATACACAAACATATCTAATAATTCTATGAAACCAACAAAGAATTCCTCTCAAAATCTAAGCATCTGCCAATCATTCATAGGAACAATGGACACACTATCCAAACTGTCGCCAAATATGACCTAAAACAACATATATCAAGTCAAAAAGTGCTACTACTTACAAGGGGGTGCTGAAAGGCCTTTCACCCAACTCGTTTCCCAAAATCTGAAAAAACAAATTTTTTGATTGGGCCGAGGATTTTTCAGCACTTTCGATATAATGACCTGTTTGATTTTTTTTTTTTTTCTTCTTCTTCTCTTTGTAAAAGTTACAAAGATACTACACTATGCTCCTTGGCAGATTGTAGGGAATGGTATTTTGATCCTTGGTAAAAGGGTTGATTTGCATGCAAATAATTCCATCATTTCTTATGGTTGTTATATTATAAAATGTGCACCACAATATACTTCCCAGAATTATTGTCCGATTCACACTCCTCCCATGTTTTTTGAACCGGAACAAAGATTTATCCCTCATCTCCTGTTTAGGATTGGGTTTCCGGTTCCTTCTGAAGTCTACCTCAATACTCTACTTCTAATGGATCCAATCAAACTCTAAAATTTTATTTGCTATTTATTTGTTCGTTTTTTCTCAATCAAAGTAGATAGGTTAGCCTATCATCCGGTTCACACTCCTCCCTGGTTTTTTGAACAGGAGTTCTTTGTTTCCTGCTTAGGAGTGGGTTTCCAGGCTCTATACTTCTAATGCTTGTTCTCTCCTATGTTAATATAAGTCCACCCAATAACCCTCTACTTTGAGCGGCTCTTGGGCCTTGTATTGGGTGAATCGTTACTTTACATCAGTGACAGAATACTAAGCTAACAGGTTGTTTGCATTCTCAACAACTGTTAGCCTCAATATGATACTAAGAGGAATGAAGTGACTGATGATAATGTCATTTATTTTCTCTCTCTCATATATGTAAATTTTGGTGAAATTTTTCAGTCTGTTTGCGATTATTGAAAAAATATCTCCTTTCTTGTATTAAAAAAAATGCCCACCTCCTTTGTCTCTTCCCTATTATTTTTTTTTTCTTTTAACAGGGAGCATAATTCCTGGTTGGGAAATTGCTATAAGAACAATGAAAGCAGGAGAAATCTCACAATTCCTAATCTCGCCAGACTATGGTTTTGGCGAACTTGGATGCCCACCTCGGATTCCTGAAGCGACTTTGGGTAAATTTTGACATTTTCATTTATGATGAGCAAAGTTCATTTTAACGTTTCCTCATTTCAGTCCATCTTTTTGGTCATTTGTTTCATGTCTCATATCTGCAGTTGGACTTTCAAATGATGTGTATTTTTAGAAATTTCATTATTTTCTATTTACAGCTTTATTTGAAATTGAACTTTTGTCTTTTGTCGATGAGGTTGGTATTGAAGATTACTGCCACTTGAATGAAGTAAGATATTTTTCTTAAACTTTTACTTTAATATTTAAATAATCTGGGGTCTGGAATGGGTACAACATGTTATTAGTTTTAAAACCAGATGTCTTAAAATGTGTGTGTGTGTATGAATGTATGTGTGTGTGTGTGTATATATATATATATATATATATATATATATATATATATATATATATATATATATAATATTTAAAATAAAAGATAAAATTTAATATTACAAGAATATTAATAAAAAAAAAAAAAAAAAAAACAACAAAAGGGGAAGCAACGGTTTTTATTGTACATTTTTTCTGTATTCAATGGGAATTCAAAATTGATACAGAAAAATGTACAATAAAACCGGTTTTTTTATTGTTGTTTTTTTTATTTTATTTTTATTTTTTAATATTTCTTGTAATATTAAATTTTATACTTTTATTTCAATCATTAAATTTTGTACTTACAAAATATCTTTAAAAATATATATATATATAAAATATCTTTAAAATATATATATATATATATATATATATATATATAATCAAAATAATAAGAAAGAACAGTGAGATTTATAATCCAGAGTTCTTTAGCACTTATTTAAAAAAAACAAAAAACAGTAGAGCATAATATTATAATTATTTTCCTAAAAATGTCTCCATCACAACACAAATAACAATGTTTCAAAACCGAAACTTAAATCTTAAATTAAACATAAAATTTGAAGTTCACTTCCATTTTCAAGCAATGCTGAGAATAACCTTCAAAAAAATTGATTTACTCTATTTATAAGCCAAATAGTATTATATATTTTAAGTTGGTGAATTCAGAATTTTTTATTAACGGTGTGTTGGCTTTTTTTACAAATGTAAAAAGCAAATGTATTTTTATGTGGCAAATTTAAACCCTGTTAAAGTTAGGTGAGATTTTGAGATTTCTGTCTGTTGATACTGACTTCCTTTCAAGCAATCATGTCATCACAGCCTGGTTTTTTATTTTTATTTTTATTTTATTTAGGGTTACATTACAATACCTTAAAGCATTTTTATTTATTTATTTTTTTCTAAAACTACATCGAGATTTTCTTAGAGGGGTATTCAAATATGATTACGTCATATTATTTATATTTTTATTTATAAAGATCTAAAATACTATATTTTATTTACTAATAAACTATGGTATTGTAAAATTAATATATTAGAATTACGCATTTATAAATTATTTTATTTATGATCAAATAATAGATATATAATTATTTTTATAATTATTTTTTAAGGAAAATATGAGACACTGTCTACAAAAAACTATTTCATTTCTTTGATTTAATAAATTTTTACTTTTCAGAAACTTAATAATATATATAACTTTTCATGTAGGCACAAAGGACATGGATCATCCAAAGATCTAAAAATTCTTTTTTTTATTAGTTCCCATTTTACTGTTGGTATTTTATTTGTTTCTTTTAAATGCTAAAAATATTTGGATAGGGATGTTTGGTTGCAATACTTAATATTATTGAAGGAAGTCAGTTGTTGGCTCCATCTCAATTTAAATTCATTTTTGTACATCCTATATAGAATTTCATAACATTAGGATTCTCAATAGATAGTGCATTGGTAAACTATGGATTCTGTGCGACTTTTATTATTCAAAGAACAATTTTCACGATTTCTAGTTACATAATTTTTCTTTATTATTGTTTATTCTTATTTCAGGGTCACTATTTCTTCTGTCATAAGTATTCTAGATATTATTATGTTTTTTTTATAATTTTTCTAAATTTTCAGTACAACTGTAACTTAATTTTAGAGCATTTTAAAAATTTTGCTAAGTGTATTATTTCTAGGAAAATGTTTTTCAATTAAAGCAAGAAATTTATGTCCTAACTTACTACTAACCCTTTTGTTGAATAAGAGTGAGAGAACCAAATGATTTTTCTGTTTCTATTTTTTCCCTGGTTTCTATTATCATGTATATAATTGATGTCATGGCATTTATAGTCACCATTCTTTAGAGCTTTATTATAAAGCTTACTGTGTTCATTGAATATTTTTTCATTAGCAGAATTTAAACTTATTCTTTATTTTCAATAGATGAAGGTATATGCTTTATTATATCATCTATAATAAAGCATATACCTTCATATGCTTTATAGATGGTATGATAAAGCATATACCTTCATATGCTTCATAGATGGTATGATAAAGCATATACCTTCATATGCTTCATAGATGGTATGATAAAGCATATACCTTCATATGCTTCATAGATGGTATGATAAAGCATATACCTTCATATGCTTTATTATAGATGGTATTTACTTACAATTATTGCCATGTGCATTATTTAAACAAATTAACCATAAATAATCAACAGTACCATTTCATAACCATCTGTCACTTGTGTTATTACCATTATTATTTTTATGTTTATATAAGTAGCAAAGTAATTGTTCCAAGTAACACAATCAAATTTAATGCTGCATAATTTATTGCAGAAAAAAATACTATCAGAAAATCAGCAGTAAAACTCGGATAGATTACATTTAGACTCGGTAGTCATTCCTTCTGCTTACAGAGGGAAGGCTGCTTAGACTTAATATGAATGACCTCAAGAATTCTCAGCTGATAATATGAATGCATCTGGCTGATTACTGTGAAATTGAGATCGATATCAAGAATGTCACACTTATTAAAAGAGAAAATGACTTAAGAGTTCTTGAGAGTGCAGCTATCAATTCTTCCTAAAATGTAAATCTGTGCCCTGGATTTTTCAAATATGTCTTTTCTCAAAATAAATACTACTCTTTTCCTAAGCCAACATATATGACCATAAAAAATTCTTAAAATTAAAAGAATATGGTTATTTTAAATAAATAAGTAATTTATTAAGTTAAAATAATAATAATAATTACATTAAAATATATATATATATATAATACAATACACAGACAAAAGAAAATAAACATTTAACAGCATTTACTCATTATTGTTTATTAGACATTTAATTACATCACTTAGCATCCTCCATAGTTTATCTTTACTTACACAGCTTTAAGAATATTTTAGATCATTCTTAAAATTTTTAAATTTTGAACTTAGTGATATTTTTCCTTTTGTTTATAAATACATGTTGCAAAATAAAATACTTACATTTACCTTGATAAACTTCATCAGAGGCCAAAACACATTGGTAAAGAAATATTTTCTTTTTGTCTTTATTCATACTGCCACTTTCAAGATGTATTTTATTATATACATACATATAGTCACTGTCAGCCAAATTCATAGTAAGAATTGTTTTTAAATAAATCTCACTTTTTACCATCTGCTAAATAAAAGCTTAATATTTCGTACATTATTTTGAATATTAAGTTAACTTATTTGTCATTTATAATTCAAAGCCATGTTCTTCTTTTCAGGAAGAAAAATCTAAACTCATATTTGAGCAAATAAACAAAATGGTTCTCAAAGAGAAAGCTGTAAGTATAAACATTTTCATGATTCAAATCCTTCATATAAGCAGCTCTCGGCTAAAATTGAAATAGTAAATTCAGTTTATGAATTTGAAATTCACATGAAATTTTCAAGTAGCAAAGTTGTAAAGTCCAAATCATCCTAAATCTAATCATCATCATATTTTTCTTCCTTCAGTGCTGTGAGAAGTGACAGTAGCCATTTTGACTGTTGCTGTGTGATTAGATTTTGCAACAATTGCATGTTCTCTCAGTCTGTAACTAAAGTTGCCTTGTTAATATTTTATAACTTGATATAAAATATATATTTAAAATCCAATAATGGCTAGTCTAAATTTTAATTTATAAAGTATACTTTTGTTTAAATTGTTGAATAAATGCTCCTGTTTGAAAATCTGTTTACATTGTCTTATGCTATAGATAGAAGCATAGAGAGAGGTTTTCAAACAGCCAGTCCAAACATGACTTCTAAAATTGAACACCGGGTGGAAATTTGTCTGTATTTATATTACTTTTTAGTGGATGCCTGTATTTGAAATAGACGCCCTGATTTTTTTTTTTTTTAAACAGTGTGTATTAAACATCTACTGTCCTGCACATTTTGCTCTCTGGCAATAGAACTTTGCTGAGCATAAACACCCTCTATTTTTGAGCGATTTTTCTATTTCTAGGTTACAACTCTGCCAGAGAGCACTTTTTTTTTTTTTTTAAGTTTTCTCTAGTGTGAAGGCTTGTAGACGTGATAGACACCTTTTATCCACTAAAAATAATGTTTGAAGCAATAAAAATGTCGAATTAATAATAAATCTTTAGAAATTGCTTTGTTTTTAAAAATAAAATAATGCAAGGGCGATAATCCACGCACAACACTCAACCTCAGTCTTGAATGATGCCTTTTACACTAGAATTTTTAATATTGTTTGAATTGCTATGAGTTTGAATTTAGTATCAGAAGGTTTTTATATTAAGATGGTTAGTTTACGGCCATGTTCACCTAATTAATCCGCAACAATATAGAATATAGACATTCAAAAACGAATCAATCACAAGGCAATTGAGTAAGAAACACCGATTATGAGATTTCAATAAAACAACATGCATTTATGTACAATTAACATACGATTTGAGAATACAATTGAGTTGAACTTTAATGGATAAATGAGAATAGATGCATTTGGCTGCATAGAATATTATTGTGAATGTTTGAAGGTGTTTGCAATTGCTATTCAGATTTGTTCACAAGTTACGTACTAAATTGTCCTTTGTGCCAGTTCAGTTGTTAGTGTGTGTACGTAAGTTTGTTTGTATAATTGGTAGGAGTTGCGTACCTTTAGTTGTGTGAGAATTTGATAGTTTGTTTAGTAATACTTATTAAGTAGTAAGAAAAAATGTCACTTTTTAAAGTATCGTAAGTGATGTTTGGATATAGTTCCTGAGAGAGATAGTGTGCTTGTGGATTGTTGAGTCAGATATTTTGCGCAGCAAAGTCCTGGTTGGTCAGAGTTTTGACTTGCATGGGTCAGTTTGGCATCTCTCTAGGAATGAAGGTCTGACTGGTAAATATTATGCATGCATGTTGTGTTGAGTGTTCGTACGTAAAGATTTGTCGTCTTGATTAGCGAGACGGTGAATTGTAGTAGTCACATTTTTAAGCTTGAGTAAGCAGTCGAAAAACGGTCTACTGCTGATCTGCCCAGGTCTGCGTCTCCGTTGGCTTCTGCGTCTGCTTCTCTCCCTCTGTCACACGTGCTTTGGGTTCCTTTTAAGAGGTCATGATCACGTGAGGTGGCTCTGGAACGATTTTGCGCCAAAACTTCGAAGTGCACATGTGGGCGACCTGATTGGTAGAAATGAACCAATCAGAGGGATAGATTTACGAATGAAAGTTGGAATAGTGCATTACCCGAAGAAGGTAAGATTGGACTAATAGATGAGCCCAATAATATCAATCTGTATTGCACCAATGTTAAAACTGTTGAATATACTTTTTGTGTCATAATTTTAGCTGCTTCTTTCTTCATTCGAAACTTTTCATTTTTGATCGAGTTGCTTCCACTGAGTTGTCACATGTAACATACTTTTTACAGCACAATTTGTTTAAGGATGATGTTACGAGGATGCATTTCTATAGTAAGGGATTCTACTGAGTCCTACTTGTTAATACAAAAAAGTTTTCATTCATGAAGTAGTTGTAAAATAGAGAAATTAGAAATAGAATGTTTGGAAGATTCTAGATCATTCCAGTATATTTTTTGGAAAAGGGTTGTCAGTTGGCGAAAAGAAATTTCTGCTAGTATCAACTCCGGCTTTTTGATTCAAGGATTATTATATCCAGCCGAAAGAATCTCTATGAAAAGTTGCCTACCAACAAAAACCCCAAAAGAGAACCACATGGAACAAATCTGGTAAATAGAGTTTTGACTATTTTCATTGACCAAACTACTAATTATTCAATATATACTCACATTTATGGATTTCCAGTTATTAGTACTTAGATTATTTTGCTAGCCCTAAAGTGGTAATGATACTTGACTCCCCTTCCTTCTCCTTTGTAACAAGACTTGACTCTCCTTCCTTCTCCTTCGTAACACTTTGCCCATAAACTCTGTGTTTTCTGTTTTTGTATGCCTCAATTGTATATCTTGTATTTTATATTATGTTTTAGTAAATTAAATATTTGTTTGTGATTTAGCTCTGTGTTTTGATAAATCATTTTTTTTTCCTTTGTTACAATTTCCAACATGTAACAATGAGCAAATGTCTTGCTTTTAGTTTTTACAAAACTATAAAATGTTACAGCTTCTTTATTTTGTAAAAAATTCATTGTTCTTGGCTTTGAGTAGTGGAGTCCTTCAGTAGTTGTTCAAAGATCATTACTTTTAGAGAGCATGAAAAATCAGAGACATGTTGAAAATTACTGTCAAAACAAAAAGGTTGAGCAAGTCTTTTTAAGTGGCCAGCTTTTCTCTCATTAGCAAGGATGGTGTTCCTTTCCTCCATAAAAGTTTTGTCATTTATTCTTTTACCTGTGAATTGTGAATCTGATTCCACTGAACACACCTTGCAGAGATTGCAATATAGCATTAAACAGCATGTTCCATTTTAGATTAGAAACAACCGGTTGCGTAAATATTATAACTGCATATGCACATGTTGGACATGTGCATACTGAGGAGATTTTGAAGTCAGCAATTGGCCATTTCATTGACAGAGCTTGAGTCATATAAAGTTGGGGACATGGTGTTGGTGAGACCACCCCAGAACCAATCTATCCCCAATTTTTCAACTGGGAATCTTACTGGGATCATCAGTCCATAATATGTCCTGATTGAGGTGTGCCATGTCATGTTAGACCTCTGACTGGCATGGAGCCAATGCTCTGCTGCAAGCAACACTGATGATTCATTCATGAGTGATGGAGTAGTTGGAAATAGATTCCCAAGTTTTCAATGTGCCTCCTGCCACAATGAAGATGGATAACAATAAAAATGAGGAGGATGTACCTCCCCTACGAAGGTACACCAGAAGGAAATGCCCACCCCCTGCATGTTGGTGCTGGGATCAGGGTGGAGTGTAACAAACAGGTTGACCTGAGACTCAGAATTGGTTGCATGTGATGTTGTAAGCACCAGGAGTTACATCCTCTTCCACAATAGGCTGTTGAGAGAAGACCTTCTACTTAGAGTAGGTAGTGCTGTCAATTTGCATATGAATGGTACCAGGCGGGTATTAGCCAATAGTCACCATGGGTATGGCACAGGGAGAGTTATTTAACACCAGTTTTTTTCTTAGATGAGTGAGCAATCTCAACGTACAGATGTGCAAAAGCCAGACAAGACGAACACCGTGAATAGACTGAATATAGTAGATGTGGGGGAATTGAAATTTTTATGTAAATATGATTATAATTTTAGATTCCAGTTATTGCAGACTTTTTGGTCACAGTGGGTATCATGTTTGAAAGACTTAGGTGTTAAATTCTCACCTATGAACTCTGTTTATAAACCAATATGATTTGTAAACAGAAATAAATAATCTCTCAACATGTGACCATCAATCTCTTTTTAATTGTAATTAGAAAATTATATATGATGAAAATATAGTTTTATATTTATGAGTTAAAATGCTCAATATCAGGGATAGAGCATATGTAAATATAAAAGTGGACATTGAGGTCTACAGCCAGCAGTGGCAGTTTGTTTCATGTTTGAATACAAAGATATGGCCTGACAAAAATTTCTCATACATGAGCCAAAGACTTTGCCTGATGATTGCGCTCAAGCATAAAACAGACAGTTCAGTTACCACTAGGCGTTAACTTCAATGTTCATTTATATATAGTTGTATGGATATTAGTTTGTAACCCTGCGTTTCACACTTTTGTGATCATCAGACAAATCACAAAAGCGGGAAACCCTGGGTTACAAACCAATATCCCTACGACTGAATATGTTAGCTCTACCACAGATATTGAACACTTTCCACGAAGTGCTGTGCATATATAAAATATGTATACGTCTGTTTCATGCTTAAAGGTAATTGTCAGGCCTTTTATATTTACATATGCTCTATATTGAACACTTGAACCCATAAATATAGCACAGACATTAAAACTATATTTTCATCATATATTTAGATATATTACTTCAAAGGGCACCTTGACATGGTGTAATGGTTAAAAAGCTTGTCTTGCTAGATCAATTACAACTGAGTAGTGAGTTCGATCCTCACTGGGTGCCCCATACTTTCGGCGTTGTGCCACATCTAAGCCGGGCTTAGAAAATCAAATATATATATATATATTACTTCAAAGATTATTTTTAGTGGATATCTATGTTTGAGTAGATGCATCATTTTATTTTAAACAGTATTTCACTTACTGGCCTGCACACACGAGGAAACATGTTCTCTTACAGGATTTGATCCTGTGTCTCCCTTTGCAGAATAAAACACTTTCTTATCCAGCATGCTTTAACTGCTTAGCTATGAAGTACTTCACAATCAAGTTAAGGTCTTTTTAGCTTTAAAGTACACTCAGTCGTTCAGATTTTCTTAAAAATGGCATATCTGCTCAGTTCTGTATCTGAAACGTAAACGAAACAATTTCTAAAGAATTAATGGATTTATTTTTAATCCAACATGTTTTTATTACATTAAATGTTAGATTTAGTAAATATCTATATTTGAGTAGACACTCCATTTTATTCTAAACTGTATCTGGTTTTTCTCCCGTACTGCACACTCGAGAAAAAAAAATCCATTAATTTAGAATTTGTTACAATAATTTATCTAATTTTCTTCTTTTCATTCAGTTGGCGACTGAATATTTCCAATCAAAACAATTACACAAAGCCTACAACAAATACAAACTTGTAAGTTGAATTTTCTTTTTTAAATTTTCAAAATTTTGTTTCTGGTTAACTTTGAAGATTAATGTTTGATCTCAAAGGCATTAACTTGAATGGTAACTGAACTAAAATAATAAAATTAAAAAAAAATGTCATTGTTTCTTTTGTTCAAAAAAAAAGTTTCTCTTCATTTCCTTTATTTCTTCTACAGAGATTAGAAAGTATATCATGGTATTAAGTCACAACTAAAAATATGAACGGACATGACGAAAGCAGCAAAGAGTTTTACTAGAATTGTCTTTCGCTGGCATGTCAACTGAATCAAATTCAGGATTAGGACCTCAGTCCATTCATTCAGAATTAGAAAAATTTGACATCGGAATCGTTATGCCGTTCATTTCTCCTCGTGGTTTAAATATTTTATTAAAGCAAATTTTCCCAAGCCCACTGCTGGTGAAGGGCAGGAATGGCCACTGACCACTCCCCCCACCCCAGCACTGCGTTATCTGTAACTTGACGCTTGGGTTCTGAGATATGGCTGGTGTACAATCACTGACATCCACCAGAATTCAAAACGGACATTAACTTTCTGCCTTGTGTGAGTATAAATTCATTCTACCAGAGACGCATCCTAAAGCTCTCTCATATATATATATATATATATATATATATAAATAAATATATTCCAACATTTTTATGTATTTATCTATTCATGCTTGGTCTCTCTCTCTCTCCCCCCCTCTTCGCGACTAATTTAACATTGATACTTGTTCTAACCTAACTTCTAACACTGTTTGTTTAGTTGGACCCCCCCACTACCTCGGAAAAAAGGGAAAAATGTCTCTTTGCCAGGCGTTAGCATGTCTTCAGTATTCTTTGGTCCAGTGGCCTATCACCCACTGCCACAACTGAGCTAGCATTTATGCCATATCCGCAAATGTATGATCATTTTTTTTTTCATTCCTCTCTTTAGTATAAGTTCCATTGTGCTATTCTAAGTTAAAACTTAGTGTTGTGTAAGTATAAAATACCAATAAATTCCATCCTATCCCCCTGAACGCACATCTAGTGTCAGCCTGGGCATTCTTAACTACTTCCCCGCCCTTATCCCTCTGTTTGTCTTTTGTCACTGTTATGAGTAGGTAGACCCTCCTACCACCCGGTCAACACTCCTCCCTCTTCCCCTGGACATACGCAGAGGCTCACACCTTGTTTCCTGTCTAAGAAGGGGTTCCCGGTACTTTCTTTCTCTCTCTGGCCTCTGAACTAGTACTGATGTGTTTCTCCCGTGACGTGCGCAGTCTGTGGCATTGCCTCTTCATTTTGAGGGTACACGGTTGACAGTTTACTGGTTGCTGTTTCTGACTGGTAGTTAGGAGCCCTAACTCTTGCGTAGCGTCTTGAGCGGCCACTCTGATCAACAGTTGTATAATACCAGGGTGTTTGTAGTGCCATGATGCGCATGGAACAGTGTCCCTGCAGTCACCTCCGGTGGGCAACCCTGAGGCCACATTATGATGCAGGCTGGGCCATCTCCTCTCTGCTCATGTTGCGGTCGATAACCATCTGCTTCTCTTACTTCAGGCCTTCTCATCTTTCAACAATTACTCCACATGAAGACTCAAATGAATCATAAAAGTATACCTAAACCAGAATCACCTAAACCCCTCAACATTTCATTCTCAAACATCCGTGGCATTAGAACAAACTTCTGCAGTATGGAATCATTCCTCACTGCAAACTGCCCGGATATACTGGCTCTGTGTGAGACAAATCTTGTCTCGTCTATTCCCTCCTCTGATCTCTCGATCCCCGGCTACCTTCCTCTCCTCAGGAAAGACTCTCTAACCCACATGCACGGCCTTGGTGTCTACGTCAAGGACCATCTCCCCCTGGCCAGAGAGTTGTCTCTCGAATCGCCAGACCTTTCGTACATGTGTCTCTGACCATCTCTCCTCAATGCCGTAAGCTATCTCTTCTTCCTCTATAGCTCTCCATCCTCTCAAGACTGTGGGATACTCGACAGTATATCTGACAACATAGACAAGGCCCTCTCTCTCCACCCGTTTGCTCATATATTCGTGTTCGGTGACTTTAACGCCCATCACACCAACTGGCTCGAGAATGCTACTACTGACCGGGCTGGCATTCAAACATTTAACTTCTCAATTTCTCAATCCCTCACGCAGAGATAGTTGACTTCCCCACACGTTTTTGCCCTCAACCTGGCAGGTAAGGCCTCTCTTCTCGATATGTGTTTTACCTCCATCCCGAATCTTGCAGCGCCACACAGCTCTGCCCGCTTGGCAACCGATCACGCCCGTGGTATCTGTCAACATTTCCTTCAACTCCACACCCCGCAGAGAACCTCCCATCACAAGAACCTCATTCTACTATCAACGAGCGGATTGGGACTCGTTCCGTGACTTTCTCCGCGATGTCCCCTGGGATGTTGTCTTTACACTCCCTGTCCAAGAATGTGCTACTGAGGTCTCATCCTGGGTTAAAGCTGGAATTGACGCTTTCATCCCCTCAAGGAAATTTAAGGTCAAGTCGCGCTCCCCCCCTTGGTTCTCTGCTGCTTGCGCAGCTGCCATTGCCCATAGGAATCACTTCTTCCACCTATTTCATAGCGACATGTCGGATCGCAATAGACGTCTCTTTGCCTCCACCCATAGCGAGTGTAAGCGTGTCTTCAACGAAGCTAAGTCAATATTTGCTGCTCGGATGAAGGAACGTATTGCATCTCGCAAATTTGGCTCCAAAGATTATTGGCGGGTCTGCAAGAGTGTCCTGAACAATAGAAAACCCTCCATACCTCTTTTATTCAACCAGTTCGAGGTCTTGACATCCTCCACCGACAAGGCTGAATGCTTTACTCAGAAATTCTCATTTAATTCAACGCTCGACTCCACCGGTGTACCCATACCAGACTTCCCTCCAAGAACTGAGGCCTTATTGAGTGGGTTACACATAACCCCGTCATTGGTACTGGGCATTATCGCCAACTTAGACCCCTACAAGGCTAGTGGTGGAGATGGCATACCAGCCATTGTCTTGAAGAAATGCGCGCCTGAGCTAGCGCCCGCCCTCTCTAAACTGTATAATTACTGCCTCAAGGAATCCTGTTTTCCTAACTGCTGGAAGTCCTCATCCTTTGTTTCTGTGTTTAAGAACTCTGGAGACCCCTCTGACCCCTCTAATTACCGTCCTATTAGTCTCCTACCCTCTTCGCAAAGTCTTCAAGCCCTAATCAATGCCGAAGTGGTTAATCACCTTACATCCCATAATCTGCTGTCAGATAAGCAATGTGGTTTCCGCTTCGCCCGATCAACAGCTGATGTGCTTCTGACCATCACTGAAACCGTCTACCAAGCCCTTCAAAATAACGGTGAGGCTCGTGCCGTGGCCCTCGACATCTCCAAGGCATTCGATAGGGTTTGGCACGCCGGCCTTCTTCGTAAGCTCCAGGGGTATGGTGTTACTGGTCGACTGTTTGATCTAATACACTCATTCCTGTCAAACCGAGAATTGAAGGTCTTTCTCAACGGATTCTCCTCCAGTTCCTATCCCACGAACGCAGGTGTTCCCCAAGGCTCCATCCTTGACCCCACTCTTTTCCTTATTTTCATCAATGACCTTCCTGACGCCATAGATTCCCAAGTTGGCATCTACGCAGACGACACTACAATTTACTCCTGCCTCAAAAACAAATCTACTGTCGGCGACAAAACTAACCTGGCCGTGCGTCTTGAAATGGACCTCCAATCGGTTGTTAACTGGGGCAAGAATTGGCTGGTCAACTTTACGCCTCAAAAACTAAATTACTCTCCATTAACCACCATAGAGATCCTTCCCTGCCCCCCATTAAAATGTCTGATAGTCTACTTCCTGAGAGCAACTCCCTGCGTCTGCTCGGTCTCACGCTGACTGCTGACCTGAGATGGAACAAATACATTGAGTCAGTTGCTTCTTTCACCGCGAGGAAAGTTGGCTCTCTGTGCCACGCCAGGAAATTTTTCTCCCCTGAATCGATACTTCAAATATACAAAACATCCATTCGCCCTTGCATGGAGTATTGCTGCCATATATGGGCTGGAGTACCTTCTGCTTACCTCGGAGTTCTTGACAAGATCCAGAGACGGATATGTAATCTAATTGGCCCTGATCTGGCGTCTCGTCTGCCGTCGCCTCTCTCTGTCTTTTCTACAAATACTTCCATGGTGAGCTGCTTTCGCTGGTCCCCAGACCCTACGAGGCTGGCATCCCGCTCCCACCTTTACACTGTAGAAACTTTTAAATGTAGCCGTCTCTTCTACTCCAATATCTTCATACCTCGCACCTCTGGAACACCCTCCCCAATTACTGTTTCCCTGAGAGCTATAATCTCCAACTGTTCAAATGTAATGTCAACCGACATCTCCAGTTACCTTGATCTACCCACTATCCCTCTCCTCGTCCTTTCTTCTATCATTCCTATCTGCTCTCGCTCCAAATCTTCCGCAACCCCCTGCATCCTAGTGGCTTCACGCCTTGTTTGGGGCGTAATGCTTAAAAATAATAAAAAAAAATCTTTATTTAAATTTTACTCATCCTAGGAAACAAATATCTAACACATAAGATTTTAGCATTTATTTTCAGTCTAAAAAAAAAAAAAAGCATATAGTAAACATTGTAATGAGTTGGTTGGTCAACTTGAAACCCCCAAAGCGAGTGGAGGTGGGCAGGCGCGGGAACTGTGATTGGTAGCTGGCTTGTTGGTGTTTCGCATAGGTGAGTTACCAAGCTCTATGTAAAGGGCTGGAATGAGAAGGAGGTCAGTTTTTCAGTCTCAGAAGTGGAGACTGTGTCCGTTGCTACGACAGCAGGAGAGAAAGAGACGAAGTCATTTATTTTTTCGTGACACATTCCAACACAAACATGTCATTTGATACAAATCAAGCTGCATTAGTAAAATTTGAATAAAAATGTCTTTTCTCTAGTGTCTCTCAACCCCGCCTTCTTTTCAGCTGTCTGTTATATGATGTCTCAAAATCGGAGGGAATTTGTGTGGAATTTTTTTAGGCAAGTCAGGGAATTATGGAATTTTATCCAATAATTAGGCAATGAATCCTGATGGAAAGAAAGAAATACAGAAGTCTTGACTTAATAAGCAATAAAGATGTAAATTCTATTAATATTTTAGTATTTCTGCTTGAATTTCTGGGATGAGGAGTTATTGTTTATAATCAAGCTAATGTCCTTACCTTTGTTGTTATCGTAATGTTTCAGACTTTGTTCCCTCTGTCCTTCTTCAGGTATCTATTGAGCTGGATAAAATTCATGAAGTTTTGAAATGGACCCTTTGTTTAATCTATTGGGTAGATTGTTTTCCATTCACTGTCCTCGTTTAGAGATGATATCATGTCTTGTTCTTATTTAGTACTACTAGGCTATTTCTCATTCAGTTTCCACTGAGCCTAAGTCTGTATAATTCTTGGCTCCTGAACTCATTTATGATATTATCAAATTCATAAACCAATGCTTTAATCCACTAGGCTATTGTTCCATGGGACACTTGTAAACCTTGAACTTGGTGCCTTTAGACCTGATGGTTTTGTCTGCAAAATATTCCTGAAATTTCCTCAAACATTTTAATAGAAACTGTGAACAGTCTACGGCAAAGTGTTTAATGAAAACAGGTGGGATTAGAAATGTTTAATGAAAAGGGTGAATTTTTCTGCATAAAAGAATAATTATCCTGGCCTGTATATTTGAAATTCAAAATTATACCAGCTTGTCTATTTGAATCTCAAAAGTACACAGAAAATATTCAGGCTCATAAAAATATGGGCAAAGTTTAACAAATGTAATCACAAAAAATATTTTTTTTCTTGACACCTACTGTAACTGTATGAGAATTGAGAACAAAAATTAAATAAAAATAATTTCTCATTTTATGATGAACATAGAATAATAGCTACATGACCCCCCCACCTACCCCCACACATTTGGATAATTAAAAAAAAGAAAAGTAATCTAAGAGATAAAATAAAGTGAAAAGAAAATATTTTCTTTTCATGTAATTATATCTCTTAGATTACTTTCTTTTTTAGAATTAATGAAGGCTGATAATGACGAGGAAACACAAGGGTAAATTTAACAAAACAGGATTAGGAATTTATTCATGAATTTACACGCTTGATGTTGTTTCAGTAGCATGTTTCAGAAAAATGTATCAGAATTCTTAAAGTCCATAGTTTTAACAAATTGTCATGAAGGGGAAATGTTCAGATTAAATGAACTGACACAAAATAATATTAAAAAAAACGTTTAAGTCAGAGGTAAGAGAGTTTGTTGTTCACTATATGTTCAAAAGTAGACAAAGAGAGATCAATAGCTTGAAACACTTAGCTTTCTTCGATTGTTGAGAGAAAATGTTTTGAAGTGTCCTGTGCTGGTTAGAGGCCGATAATATAATCGACGAATAATTTTACGCTGGTTGTGAAGAATTGAAATGAAATCTTTCACGTGACTTCACTCTTCACTAATTTAACTTTTCTCATTTTATATCAAAAGGAACTTTGCATAGGCTCATACTTTCTTTCCTTTTTCTTCTTGGCTCACTGGTTAATTTCTGTGAAGGCAAGGTTTTCATTGGTTCAAAAAGAATTTTCACATTGGCTCATGAATTTCTTACCTTCTTAGTCCTTTGAATTTGAAAGGAGTTAGTATTTTGCACTCGTTCATCAGTTGTAATAGGAAATGTCTGATATTAAGATAAAAGAAATACTTATAAAAAAATGAATAATAAAAATAGTTGTACTTAAAGTATATTGCTTATGGTCTTTGTCCTCGTTGGATTCTGTGTTATTTCAGAAGTGTGCTAAACTAGGCTCAATTTATTTAGAAGTAAAAATATTTATTCATTACTGTTGATGTTTTTTTCTCTTTTATTAAATTGAATTTAAGTTTGTTTTACTCTGAAATTCTATTGATGCACCCAGGATCCTTTGGATACTTGTTGCCTTGTTATGTAATTTTTTTTTTTTTTTTTTTTTTTTCTAGGCCACCCAAATAATAGAAGATTATTTGCCAAAGAATTATGAAGAGAAACGACAGGGGGAACAATTCCTTTTAACACTCAATCTGAACATGGCTTTATGTTGTATCCGTCTTAACCATTCGGGACGAGCTGTGACTTATTGTCAAAAGGCCTTACAGTTAGATAATACAAATACAAAGGCTCTCTATCGACTCGGCCAGGTAATGGCTTCTTTATAGTTTTCTTTACTCTGAGAAATTTTAAGTTTTTTTTTTTATTTTCTGTTTTTGAAGTCCATCTGAATTTATCTCTGATTACATTGTTGGTTATAGAGTGAATTCCATTTTAATGTTGGTCTATTGCATTGGGATGCCCTGATGACTGCAGCAGCCATTTTCATCTTACCACTGGTGCAGGTGCTCATTGGAATACTGGATCACCTCTTCTGTCTGATATACAGTTTCAATCATTCATTGTCAAGATGGCAAAGGCTGCAGGAAAGGAAGAATTTCAATGGAAGTAAAATCACTGACATTTAGAATTTGGACAACAATTCAATGATTGTGATTTTTTTTTTCTTTCAGTCACTACCAATGTCATCCATTTCTTGCTTCATATTTTAATGTCACTTTCTATCAAATCCACTTGCTTGAAGAAATTTCTTTATTTGGCAAATCTCTTTTGAGATAGAAGAAATGGCAACCTTGGACCTTCATGCCCACTTAAGAAAAAATCCATGTTCATTGTTTTAGAAAGCAATGATTAAAATTGTAATAAAACTGAAACACATGAAAGTGAATTTATAGATTTTCTTTGTTCTGGAGAATTGACAACAAAAATAAACACTATTGTTTTAGACTTTTATATTGTTTATTAGAACAGTTGGCATAACACTGGCTAACTGCCAATTGTTTCAAACTTTATAAAATGGTAAATAAGGATTTCCTTATGCTTTTGTTGTTTTAATCAAACTTACCACAAGCAAGGGCAGTAAAGCCACTAAGACACAAGGGGTTACTGGGTGTGAAAGAATTAGAAAACAGAAACATGAAGGAGTGAGGACAATAGAAGAGGAATCAGGTAGACACAAGATAACGATTGTCAATATGTTTAAAATTTTGAAGATTAAAATTGGCTGGAAAGCATTGAGCCAGAAGAGAATTTGACAAGCAAGAAGTGAGAGAAAGTTTTGGTGTTACCTATCATAGCTGAAAAAAAAAACTCAGCCTGGAAGTTTCCTCTGCTCCAATAGATTTTATGACACAAAAGTCACTGTTTTAGCTGCTTCATCCACCAGACACAATGACCAGGGAAAAAAGAGTGACATTCCATAAAGAAAAATAGCTGTAGACAAATATTTGTTTTTCCATTATTCAAAGATTATAAAGTTGTTTAAATCAATTGAAACGGGTACATTTGAACAAAAGTCTATAATAACAGAGTAGAAAACATAAAAAAATACTTCCACAAGAAACATTTCTGTTTTGTGATTTCAAAAGTTAAACACAGACTTTGTATATGAAACAGCATTTCTTTTATGGGTCAAAATTCTTGACTTTCCAGTAGATTTCAACTAGTTAAAGAGGACGGGGTATGGTGAGGCTATCTTAGAATTTTGGTCGGGACTTGGTCATATCCCCATCCTACTTTGAAGTTTTATTCCATCTTGAACAGACAAAGAGCTGGGTTTTTTTGGTGGGGGGGTCACACAAGTAAATGTTTATATATTTAAGAATAAAAAGAATTGTTTTTATATGTATTTCTTTATAAATTGGTAAATTATAAATATTGCTTTGTATTAGTCTTAATATAATTGTATTTGTAGACTATTATAAATTATTCTTGCAAATAAAAAATCTAATAGTGATTAATATTTTTGTTATAAATTTGCTTTCATCATATGTTTAGGTTTTATTACAATTCTAATCATTGCTTTTTAAAATAATAAACATTATTGAGGAGTGAAGGTAGTTAAAATAAGTGTTGTTACTAAGAAAAAAAAATCATTCTTTTGACATTTTGTTTTTTGTTTGTTTTTGTTTTTTTTTGTTGTTCTGTTTTTTTGTTTTTTTTTGCAGGCATGAAAATCCATGTTTGCCAAAAAAAATTTAATGAATATTTTCAAATTTTAATTCTATTTATTTCCGTTTTTGACTTAAGGCCTACCATCAGCTGGGAAGATATTCTGAAGCCATTGCTAATCTCAACTTAGCAAAGAAGCAATTACCTTCGGACTCAAATATTTCAAAACTACTACAGCAATTGCATGAGTAAGAGTTCACTTTTCCATTTCTTCCTAACAAGGACTCACCGCTGTGAACTACATGGAGGGGACTCAAATTTCTCTCTCTGTCTCTTATCTGAATAAATGTTTGAAACTCTTAAATATACAATTCAAGGCAAGTCTACATTGAATGATGTACTTCGCTTTCACAGAAACGAGTCACCTTTTCTTTTTCCTTTTCTTAACCCAAGTGATTGCCCTGTTGAGCCAAGTCACAATCCTGCCTCTACTGAACTAAATTATGGAACAGTGTATAGATTAATATGTATCTATCTTGTTTTACATAGAACATGGTAACTCTTCAATTACTTTGCTACCCATATGTCTATTAATGATTTCATTGGGATGGAAAAATTACATTTATGCAATTCACCAAGAAGATAGAAGCAAAACATTTGATAGTGAAATTGCTGCAATGACAAGCACAAGTGTTTTAAAATGTTAAAACAATATTTGAGTATATGGGAATGACAAAGCAAAATGTGTTGAGATAAAATAACCAATAATATTAGGATAGCTTTCTTTTTTTTGTTTGTATGTTTTTTTTAACTTGATTGACACCTCCAAAATTATTCATTTTTTACTAGTAATTTATTTCAATTCCTTTATTTCTACTAGTAGCATTAGTATTAGTAGTAGTAATATTATCTGGAATTTTGATGAGATGAAGCATTGTCCAGCATTATTCATTTTTGATTAGGATTTTTTTTCAAATGGGTCTGTTTTCTGTGGCTTTTATTTCCATTTGAGTCCAGCTAATTCTTTTGTTGGGCAGGACAACATTGTAACTAGTCTAATACAGAACACATTGGATAAGTCAATATGGCTATTTGTAACGGTGGGTAATGAAGATGACTCCATCCTTAAATTGTGTGAAGATGCTGATTACAAGAAAGGAGGAGGTGTCCACTGGAGATTTGCTCACAAGTACATCTGGATTCTTATAGCATAAATTCAAACTCATCTTGAAAGTAATGGCTGGCTTGATGACTAAATTGTTCAATTCTTTTTTTCATCAGTGTAGGAATGTCAAATGGTTCGACATTCACACCAGTTTCTGGTGGGACTAATTGTCTCCATATTGTTGGTAAATTGGGCCTGTACCGATCCTTCAGCATCTGTCTGTATTTCTGAGATAAGTTAAATGGTATCTTCATTATCTACAGCTACAAATAACCATATTGACTTATCCAATGTGATCCATATTGATCAAACTAATTTTTTGTTGTCCCATCTAAAACCTGATAATGTTTTTTTTTTATATATGCAAACTTATTGTTTATGTCATTTCTTTTATTTGTAGAGATGTTTTGAAACATAAAGAAGAAGAAAGCAAAATATATCGCAGAATGTTCTGTCAAAAATTATCAAATCACAAATCGAGTTTATGTAAGCAATAATTTTTATCTTGAAAGCTTTTTATTTCATAATCTGAATTGCTCCCCCCCCCGGAAATGTGGTAGAATATGAGTTGGTTCAGTTTACAATTTACTCAAAGTATTTACAAGAAACTCTAAGCAGAGGAATTGATAGAAAAGTGGGGTGGGGGGTGGTGGGGTGAATAAAACTGATAGGAAATAGAAATTTGGGGAGTTAAAAGGTGAATTAAATACTACAACATTATTTATTAACATTAAACCTCAATGCAGTTTTAACTCACATTGTTTCAATTTAACTCTTGCAAAAAAAACAATTTTATGCATTGTCTTTCTTTTTCTCCATCCTTTCTCTCTCTCTCTCTCTCTTTCTTTTTCTTTCTTCTCTCTCTTTTTTCTTTCTTTTTCTTTTCTTTCTTTTTTTTCTTCTCTCTCTTTTTTCTTTCTTTTTCTTTTCTCTCTCTTTTCTTTCTTTTCTTTCTCTCTCTCTTTTCTTTCTTTTCTTCTCTCTCTCTCTTTTCTTCTCTCTTTCTTTTCTTTCTTTTTCTCTCTCTCTTTCTTTCTTTTTCTTCTCTCTCTCTCTTTTCTTTCTTTTTCTTCTCTCTCTCTCTTTTCTTTCTTTTTCTTCTCTCTCTCTTTTCTTTCTTTTTCTTCTCTCTCTCTCTTTTCTTTCTTTTTCTTCTCTCTCTCTCTTTTCTTTCTTTTTCTTCTCTTCTAATTAAAATAAAGGGTTTTGTCAATACAGCATGCCAGTTGCTTATCACCAATATTTAGATTGCCAAGTATATATATTTTTTTTTTATATGAGTCTCTTCCTTATTACTTACTGTTTATTACATTTGCCTCTTGTTTTGGTCAGTAGAGGTTAAAAACTGAAAACATTTGATTTGATAATTGTTATATTTTTTTCCCTGTCTAGTAACAACAAATCTTGAAGATGCCAGCAAAGCTGCAGAAGAAAAATCTGTGGCAGTTACAGACGACTTCAGGGGAAAAGTAAGCAAATATTTAAAGTAAGTTAATTGGTGACCTTATTTTTTCTTTTGTTTGTGACAAAGAGCCTGCTAAGACACTCATGTTGGGATGAGTAGAGCCCCAAGAAGGTTTGACAGTAGTCAACAATTAAATTTAGCAAGGTCCACTTTTATGGTTTAGAACACGGGAAAAACATGAGAAAATGTTTGATTACATTAAATGATTATTGTAATTAAATGTGAAAAAAAAAACAAACTAATCAACTTTCTTAATTAGTTCTTGAGGAATTGGATGGATTTAAGGAGATCTTAAATCAAACCTGAATATTAACTTCAAAATAACTGAGAATGGTGCTGTACCGATTAGCTATACTTTTTCAAGTCAGTCAGAAATACTGACAATAAATATTACTTCCTTGGCTGAAATCAGAAATTCAGTAAAACCTTTAAGATTAAGTTGTTTACTTGATGACCTTTTCAATTGAATTTGGGTTGTTTCCTAAGCACAATAATTTCAGAGAAATGTTTTTGCTAAAAAAAAGAATAAATAATCCTCTAAAGCTTACAGGCCTTGTGTTTGTTTACATAGTAAAATATTCACTGGCAGATTTTATAGGAAGAATAGTTTTCAGAAAGTAGCTCATCTGAAATCTGTCAAGTGGCTATCTGATCAACTACTTTCCAGAAGAAAGTTAATCCTTAAGAACATAAATTAATGGTCAAATCATATTAATAATCTTGAATCTGTCATTTTGTGTAAGCACACAGTTGGTTTAAGCTTGTAACATTTCAACCCTGAGATTAGGACTTCTTCAGATCTTATCTAAACCCACAATGTCTAGAGGAGTCTGCTGTCATGGCCATTGATGAACCAGTGACCATAATAGCAGCTGGTCCCCTTTAGTGTTACATTTGCAGGCTGTAATCATGATTGTCCGAAGAACAATTTTTAATCTGTTTATATAATGTTTCTTCTTCATTTTACACAGTTGAATAAAAAGGAGAAAATATTTTCACAAATTTTTTTTTTTTTTTTTTTTTTTTTTCTCTTCATAGCCTGAAAATAAAAAAAAAATAACTGCTGTAAATGTATTTCAAGTTTTGATAAAATGATCAGAATTGGATTTTATTAATTTTGTTGTCTTTACTGAATATTTTTGTAATTGATGTTTTGTTGTGTTTTTCTCTTTTGAGAAATTCATAAAACCACTTGCTATCACTTTGATTAAAACCAAAATATCCCATTGTTTTATTAATTGAATAAATTTATAATTATCTTTTGAGATTATGGAAATTTATTGTTTTCAGTGACTTTGTATCAGAAAACTGCCAACAAGAATGTCCAATGCCTGCATACAATTTGTCTGTGGCAGAAATTGCTTTTCTCTTGGAGAAAGTCGATGAACTTGGACTTCAGGCTGTACAGACTGGATCGGTGAGTAAAATTTCCATTTTTTTTGTATGTATGTGGGTAGCAACCAGAAATTATGTCTAGAGACGCTGACCTATAACCATTCTGAGTTTTGTACCAAAACTTCAATCATTAGAGGATTTTTTTGTTTTCATCGATTCACCCCAAAGCAATAAAGCCACTAAGACACAAGCGGCAACTGGGAGTGAAAGAGAACGAGAAGACTTTAGAAGGAATCGGAAACCCAATCCTAAACGGGAAACAAGGAATAAACCTCTATTCCTATTTAAAAGGCCAGGGAGAATTGTGAACTGGATGATACATGAATCTATCTACTCTTATTGAGTAAAAATAAATAGTAAATAAAATTTCAAAGTTTAGGCGGAGACACTAGAAGTATAGAGTTGACATTAAAATTAGTTGGAAACCCAAATCTAAACAGAAAACCCGGGATAAACCTTTACTCTGTTCAAAAGACCAGGGAAGAGTGTGAACCGGATGTAAGACAAACCTATCTGCTTGATCCTAATCATCTGATTATCGTGGTTTTGTCATGAAACTTGGTTATGGTAAAAAAGGTCTTAAACATTTTCTGGCTGCTGTCATTATTATTATTATGTCTCTGTCTTGATTTAATTTCCCATTGTACAGTTTCTTTCTACTCTAGGCATTATTGTTTCTTTCTACTCTAGGCATTATTGTTTCTTTCTACTCTAGGCATTATTGTTTCTTTCTACTCTAGGCATTATTGTAGTTTTTTTTTTCCCCTTTGATGAGATCGGTTACTGTTTCTTTTTTTTCCAGTTTTTCTGCTTTCCTTTTTACCTTTCAGTTGCTTAATCATATTTACGTTTGTTTACATCTAAGTTTATATATTTCCTTTGTAATGTAATGTCTATACATAGTCACATCCTGTAGATTTATTTCAGCAAACAGCTATGTGCATACGAAAAAATCAGCAAAGTCTAAATAAATATGGCATATCAAAAGGACAGTTTTTCTCTCGACACTGCGATTACTGTATACTACATTGACTCCTTCGGCAATGTTTATTGTTTTAAAATGCTATGTTTAGAATTTTAATGACTACAAAAAAATGTTACACACCATTTAGTTGTTAGAATGTTTATATGCAAGATTAATTTTATATGTATGAGATTATAAGAATATATGAACCAATTATAAATGCAATATTTATTATCTACCATATAAACAAACAACTCTGAAAAAAATTTTTATTCAGAAAAAAAAAATGTTTGAAGTATGCAAGACATTTTCTTCCCAGATTATTTTATATCTCAGAATACTTCTTGTTTTAATTTTCTAATTTTTTATATAATCATGATCTCGGTGCCTAATAGAAAAATCCAAGGCTTTAAACTCCAGCAATTATAGGTTAAGCCCCTTGCTACTCTTTTTTGAAAAATCTTCTAAATCATTGCTAATTTTTCTAAGAATTTGCCTGAATCATGCCTAGAAAATATTCAGATAGATTATCTATTGTCAACTAAGTGATGACTGATGAAGAATGGACACTAAGCACCTTGAACAAAGCAATTGTGTACTTTGGAATCATTGGCAAAACATCAGTTAATTGCCAATCAATTTGAATGCCCAAAATATAAGTATCAATGTGTATAGGACAAGAAGGATAGACAAATTTGTATGGAATTGTAATCCCGGCCAAAATAGATCATCTGTAAGAGCAGGTCCTTTTTACTCAAATTCCTCCATTTTGAATCTTGTCAAATAGTGACTCTCTTGATTCCTGGAGAAAAAATATGCTGCAGCAGAATGCAGCTGCTTCAGCTGGAATTGCAAAAAGATAAGAGCAGTTTTGCATTAGTCAGGAGGGATTTCAAAGAACATTTATCATCTATAGTCAAGTCAGGGAAGCAATCAATGATTGAACTGGTGAAATGATTCAGAAGCTAAAATAATAACAGAAATTGATAGCTGAAAAAGTTCCCCTAAAATGTTTTTATTGAGAGAGAAAAACCCGGTCAGAAATGTATCTCCAGTCAGTGGGTGGGACTTAAAATCTACACCCAATTGGAATCCTGCTAAAAGCATGATTAGTAGAAAAGTGATTTTGAAGAGTTGTGAAAAATATTCAAAAAAGATTCACCAACTTGAGATTGTTGGTCTTTGGAACTGACAATGACATTCCATAGACATCAAAAACTGAATTTCTGCCAGGATAAACTATGAATAAAGAGGTTTATGTGAAATCAGTGAGAGAAGCAAATTGTCATGATAGATGATGACTCTCTCTCTCTCTCTCTCTTTCTCTCAAGTGCCTTTCACTCAATTTGTACAAGAAGTCAAATCAGTTAGAATTGAAAATGGTGGTGTATATGTCCCTAAAACCTGAAATGAATTTAAGGAACAGTTGAAATGGAAAATGCTTCCCTCCCCCATCTCTCTTTCTTTTTATATATATATATATATATATATATATATATATATATATATGACAAAGTGGGGAAAATTTTATGTAATGTGTTTCGTCTTCTAAAGACTTGCATCCAACTGTCAACATAAAGATGATCTGTGAAATGCTGTTTGTACTTGCCCAGCCACGTTCACCACCCACACTACTCTGTGACTGCCACTGTCACCAGGAGGGTGGGAGGAAGAGAGAGGAAGTGAGCATGTGCTGGCGATAACAAAGTCCTTTTTAGAGGAGGAATCAATCATTCAATCTGAGTACATCTGGATGCAGAAAGTAAACAACATTTGATGATATTCAGTGAAAACTTTTTAGATGCTGCGAGTTAAGCAGCTTACATAATTCCTTTCGTTGGAAAATCAGGAACAGTTTCTCCAATTTGGAGCAACTCCAAGAAAATTGTGTTGTTTGTAGGACTCTGGCTGCAGAAGCAGTTGACAATTTTTATTTCTGGTACTGTTTGCAGAACTCGCAACTTGTAAAAGTGATCCTTGAATATTGTCCAGAGTTTGTGTTACTGCAAATCTCCCCTTATGCAAATGAAGCTGTCCAAATTTATCAAAGAGAAACTAACGAATTGAACCTGTTAAAGTCTACTGTAAAATCTGTTATTTTAATTTTAGGTTCCCACCTATGACGCGAGTTTATCCATTTTTTGGGGAAGACAATAGGCATTAATGGATTAACAGCTGACAAATTTGAGTTTTTCCCTTTTTATGAAATCCAAGAGGCATTTAGCAAATTGGCCTTATGAAGTATCAAGCATCATATTCAATATAAAGATGCTCTATTCCAACAAGGTATATTACATGGATGAACAAAGCCATCAACAATTAGGACATTAAAAAAAATTATAATATAGTGATTTTCCAAGTGTAGCTCAAATGTGGCAGAAGGCCGAAAGTAGGGAGCACCCAGTGAGAATCGAACTCACTACTCAGTGGTAATTGTCCTAGCGAGACAAGCTTGCTAACCATTACACCGCCTCGAGGTGCCCCCAAAAAATATATATATTTTTTTTTTTTTTTTTTGTTAAGGTGTTTGTAAAGTTTCTACTAAATAAGTTGACCCAGTTTTCCTAAGGAAGTGGAACATTCTTACCTCACTTCTTGTATAAAGGTTTACTAATTATTTCAAAATGCATCTTTAACTGACCATAAACAGAAGATGACATACAATGTTTCTCATTTGGATGTATCAAAAGTATTAACATGGCAGCTGCATCTAGTGATGAGAAACAAAAAGGCAGGCTATGCTCTTTGTATTAATGTCCAAACACAGGGATGGAGCTGATTCTTTTATATTCAAAGGCAAAGAAGAGTTACCCAAGTCCAAAAGAAAGAAACATTCTAAGAGGTCAGATGTCATGATGGTTGCGTTTATTCATCAAGTCCTGGTCATCATCAAGCAGTATTATCATGCAGCTCAAGGTGGCATGGTGCACACAGAGACATCTGATATGAGTCTTATATTACGAGGAAAGAGCAATTCATGCCAGGAAAGTTCTTTGTTATCTGGCTGAAGTGCTTGCTGAACGAGCTAAGCACCTTAAAAAGACTCTGGTATAACATGGGAAGAAATTTGACAAGGACTTGAATGCGAATAGTATCTACTGCCTACAAGTGGCCAAGTCTTGGGAATTGAGTATCTAACGTTCCAATAGAACTCGGCTCCTTCAACTCATTCATGTGGCTGAGAACATTCCCCATCATTTCACTCTTATCAATATTCGGCCACTTCTCCATTCTGATTTAGGCCCCCATGTGGGACACAAATACATTTGGGAAATTGAGTAGAGTGAATGCAGCCCCAGCAGCTCTCATAATTCTGGGGGATTTGTTGAAGGTTGCCATTGTTAACGTGGACCAGAATCACCTGATCGAGTCATGCAATCACTTCTGACAGCACATCAAAGTTGAGGACAGTAGAAAACAAAAAAAAACAAAAAAATTTCCTCAGTTGAACACGACAAGAAATTTTTTTGAAAATGAAGTATTATTTTTATTTTATTTTTTTTTTTTTTTTTTACAGTCTTTTTTGTTTTGCTTTATATAATAATTTGTTCTCAATTCTATAACAGTTGTTGCTTGGAAAATGAATTTAGAAAATATTTTCCATTGACAATGATCGAAGCTAATAAAAAGCCTCAAAATACTTGGCTTGCTTATTTTCCAATTAAGATATTTGTTATTAGTTGCCCTCATTAGATGTTCTATTAATTTGACATTTGTGGTTTTGTAAACACAGCATTGCATTCTTGCAGCAACGCAGATGTGAGTCAGCAGCAATTGGTTGGTTTGTTTAAATTATTAAATACAGCTTCAGTTTTATTTTATGTTATTTATTCAATATGAATTATGCACTGTCAATGAATATTTTTGATGTGATTTATAGATTGTAGAATGAACTAAAATTCCTGCTTAAATATGCTTTTTAGGAATAGCATAATTATTATACAGAACAATAATAGCTTATTTTATTTATTTATTTTGGTGTAGGGCGAAAATATGTGCATCAGGATCCGGAAACCAGGCAGGCAACGATTACGGGAACATGAAGTTATTTTGACATAAATAAACAATGCATTGAGAAGATGACAAATTGAGCTTTAAAAAGATTTTCTGTCCAGACTTTTGTTTTTTCTTTCATTTATTATGCTAATGAAAATGTCCAACTTCATTTTGGTTTCAAGTGCTTTTTTTTTTTTTTTCTTTGGTCAGCAGTAAAGTGTGAAAAGTGAGGTCTTCAAAGTTGCCACCCACTTGACTAGAAAAGAATAAAATAATAGATAAATAAATGAAACTTTTGAGGCCAAGTGACAACAGACCGGATGTTGAAGACTTCCAGTCAGGAGAGCAGACTGAGATATTGCCAGGCTGCTTGTTACTGAGTGAAGGTTGACTGTCAAAGTAGTCCCAATGCCACCCGTTAGAGTTGACAACCACGCCTTGTGATGTGTGTGTGTGTGTGTGGGGGGGTCAGATAGTTGGTAGAAAATGTATTTTGCTTGTTGAGATAGAAGAGCTGATCTGTTAGTTAAACGTGGCAGAAGTTGTCCCCAAGTATCACCTACCTACCCAGACTGTACAAGAGAATGGCATTTATTCCCCCTCCCTACTTCACTGAGTGTGCAGTGGGCTTTTCTCTGCTTTTGTGCACATCAACACAATGAGAAAATGGAACATTGGATTTCATTGGTTGGTGAAAAGTTGAGGAAAGGCCTCTTTCTTTATTAAAAAAAAAAAAAAAAATTTTTGTTATATAGAAAAGGTCCTTTCTATATAATTAATTCATGGGAATCTGAAACTTTATCCTTGTATATACACAATGGATTTAAAAGCATGATAGATTTGTTTTTGCGTATATGAAAATGTTGATATTACGCATGACAAATCTAATTCAGCATTACAATATCCAAAAACTTTTCTTTTCTTTTTTTTTTAAATTCTGAAGCATTTAAAAAATGTGTCATGTTAGTTAAACTAAAGCGGTTTTATTAAAATTCAAATATAATTTGTCCTTCTGGTAGGTGGGTGGGGTAGATAAACTTATAGTTGACCTTTAGTTAGGATCACTGAATCAATGCAAATAATCCTTTCCTTAGCTGCATAACATGTGCTTTTCCAGGATTACATACAGTCCTGAATTTAGTTTTCCTTCTTTGCCACTCAAGGCTATAGAACCCCCACCTATCCTACTATTTATTTACCCATAGCTGTGGGGAGAAGTGTTGGATTCATACCCTTTTCCAAGGATATTAGCACATAAGTGAATGTAATATAGACTCTGCTCTCCGATTCCTCAATCCAAGCAGCAATCTCCATTATGCTACTGTATTTTTGTTATCTAGATATTTTTGTTCAGGTCAATTCTAAGGATCTTACAAGGAAGTCATTTCCGTTTTTGGGGTTTATTAATTTACTGAATAACTATTTATAATGAAGCCTTTTTTTATTTTTGTTAATTATGAGTAATCAATCAAATAAATGGAAAATGTTTCTTGATCCCATTTAATATCAACTTATTTCTTATTGGATCAATAAATAGCCATTGATGTAAATCTATAAATATTTCTACAATCCAACTGAATTTTAATACTTTGTTCAATATAGATGTCATTTGATTAGTGAAAGAATTAGCAAAATGATTAAAAAGTAATAAGATATTTATTCTGAAATTTTTTTTTAAACAAAGCTTTTTTTCATGTTATCATAGGATATCAACCCAGAATGTTGATAAAATGGGCAAGAAAACTAATATTGAATAAAAGAGCGCAAGTAAAATTATCAACAAACATACATACACAAACATTTTAATTTTTATATATATATATATATATATATATATGGGGGGGTGCATGCACACACACACACATATACAATTTCATCTTGGAATCAATTGCTGAAGTGGTCCCCCCCCTTCTTCCAAGCCGTTTTGATTTTCTAGTTTTAATCTGTATTGAGTGTAAGGCAAACTCCTTGAAGCACCCAGTGACTGATGTGATCAGTGGTCGATAAATCTGCTTCAAATACAAGACCAACTCCCATTGCATTACGTCGCTGAGATGTTACATAGACAGGAGTCCGTAGAGTATTCTGTAAATAAAAAAACAATTTTCTTTTAATTAAATGAAATGCATTTGATCATAATTTATCATGTTAATGTACTTCTCAGGAAAAGTAGGTTTAAATAAGTTTTACTAATTCAGTCTCAAAAATGGAAATTTATTAGTCTAAACCAGTGTTTCTCAAATTTTTTAAGCAAAATGAAAATATCGCAGCACACTTATCAAATTTCAGCATAATATCATTTTCATTTCATAAAAACTTCAGAGTAAAATATACATTTACGAAATGGGGAAAATTATTAAATCAAATATTCAATGCTGCATATCAGAAATTTCAATGATATTTTTATTCATAATTCAATATTAACTTTTACAAAGTTGAATATAATTATGAAAAAAGGTTAATATTCATTTATTCAAATAAAGGAAAATTTCAAAAAAGTTAAATTAAAACAAATAAAAATAAATTTGCAAAAAAAGTTTATTTACTCCAATACTAACGTACCATTACTGCTTCCACACACTTATATGCTGTGAAAATATTTTGCGGTACAATTAAGAGAATCACACACAAGTAGCAGCTGAGAATTACTTGTCTAAGCCAACTTTTTCCTAAAACTCATCTCAGAGTATTGAAGGAGATTAAAAAAGAAAATTTGTGTTTTTTTTTTTTTAGTGGGTGTGGCCTTGATCAGTGTGAGAAAATACAGGCACTCTAAAGACAGAAATTTATTATCTCCCTTGCATCACTGCACGTTATCATACTTTTAAGATATAATCATCATTAATGTTTGATGAAATTAAGAATTGCATATAAGGGGAAAACATTCCAAACAAGACCATTTCTTTTTTTTCTTTTTCTCTTTTCTTTACCTGTAACTTGAGACGTCGACTTTCAATGGGATTTATCTTCAACACAGGCAGTTCTTGTACAAGTTGCTTAGGTTTCTGTCGGATTAGACAACTGTTCTTTCTGTCCCATGCGGCTCCTTCTAAGTAAAGGCCATGTATATAACAACCTGAAAAGGAGGGAAGAATTCTTCACTTGTTTGCTTTTCTAATTGCTTTGTTAACAAATTTAAAGTTAAATAGAGACCATAAATTTCATTTTCCTTATCTGCCCCCTGCCCACCTGGATCATAAACTATTTGGACACTCAGCCTGTAAACCCATATTGAATCCAATATTCTCTAGGTTAAAGTATCTCATGAAATGCTCCCTTAAAACCAATAAGACAATTCAATAAGACTCTATCGTTAAACCATCTGCTCAGTTATGGTCAGACCGTCCCCAGGGTGCCACATATGTGATCAGTGGGGAGTTTTGCAGAAACGAAATACAGATGAAGCAGCCAACCACTCCTACTGATAACAGTACTCGCCCCTGTCAGTCAAAGGGACAATGTTTAGTATGCTGTCTCTGTAGAAAGACAGCACATGGCTGCCATGCCAGAACAGAGCCAGTGCGAACCCTGGAACATCCGGCTATGAAGAAAGTGTCTACCAGCTTCCCCATGAGAGAGTTTCGACAGTGTTAGCATGCTTTGCTAACCAACTGCTAAAGTTTTAGTTTCAGGGAAGCAGCATTGTATGAGAGTGAGCTGTGTTGACCACACAACATAATTTTGCTGTTATGTTACCAAGGATTTCTGTTCATGTTACACAGTGTCATTTCAAATTCGTTTGTGTTTCCAGTATCTCAGCTGCATTCATCCAATACAGACGTCTTGTCCATGCCCTGCTTGTTGTGATCCAGTGTTTCCAGTGCTGTTGAGTTTTCCATCCCTTTTTGTTGGCAGATACCCAACCAATAAGAAGAAAATCACTACAGTTAGCTTAAAACAATTCACTCTATGGATTATAGGCACAACTTTAGAACAAAATTTCAGTCTTTTCTCTTTTCATTACACACATATATATATATATATATATATATATATATATATATATATATATATATATATATATATAATGTTTGGCAGCAAAGGGGCATATTCAACATTTTATAATTTTGCAGCAATATGTGCTTAAAGGTTTTAGGCAGTTTTGATCAACATTTCTTTTCAGGGTCAGGCGTAAGGAATTGCAAATGTTGGACTCTCTTACACTTAAGTTAAATAATAATAAGAAGAATTTATTACAGGAAATATCAAGTTTTACAGAAACATTGTTGACAATTATGTATCTAGTTAGAAAACAAATAAATGAAATTAATATCAATTCTGATGCTATTGTTGGAGTTAACTCCTCCTCTTTAATTGTCCAAATTGTTCCTAGGAGTCACTACCTAAAGTATAAATACTTGAGAATACTTTGTTCTCCCCCCACACACACAGACACACACTTTTCAGCAGACACACTATAATGTAAACTCTTGCAGAAGATTGCGTTTTCCCCTTTGTGGAGAGCGCTATGCTTTTCCTTGGAAAGACACCATGAACATTATGCACACACACATGTACGTATGAACATACTTTGAAACACAAACTCTTTACATCCATGCACACAAACACCCTTTTTTTGTAGTCTAATACGCATATTTGTTTGTACATGTATATCGGTTTCTTGTTGCTTTTCTGTTACATTTTCTTTTGGTTGGACTCTATCACTAGTCTGCCAAATATTCGTAGTGGACTTTATTTCAGGTGTTCCACATATCTTCATAACATGTTTAAAAAAAACAAAACCATGGTTCACTATACTATATTCGATTTGTTGCTGGGTATTTTTCATTTTCTCCTTTAGAATAATTTGACTGCAATGCTAAGTTTCCTAAATTGAACAAACTGGAGCTATTATGTTTACACTTTGTTACCTCTCTTTTCATTGTTGTTTTTAGATCACTTTCTTTCAGTTATTTTGACGGGCAATAGCGAATTTAAAAAATAAAGCCTGTAAAAACGAATATTTTAAATACGACCAAAAATAAAATGCTTTTAATAAAAAATCTTAAGGATTTCACTATAATTATGTAACAATAATGTAATGATATTCCACAAACAAATCTACGGTTATGTTACCTCATCTCATCGCATGGTTCTGAACTATAAACCTAAACTGAGCTTGAAATATTGTGTAATTGGCTCTAATTTTTTGTAAAGTAATTGGATAGGATATAATAATTTGCAATAAAAAAAGCAATTTTTTTTTTGTTTGTTGAATACACCCCTCCTTTCCCCAATGCATCATATATGCACCCATATACACTGTCTCTCTAAATATGTTTATAGGCTTTAACAGTAGAGCTAATGACAATCTGGTCATATGACATGCTGTAAGTTGACTAAATCTGGTTTGTTAATGTCAAAAAATGCAAGACTTATAATTCCCTAATTTCAGTCTCACTTTCTCAGATTTTAGTAAAAAAAAAAAAAACATTTTTTAAGTTCACCCAATACAAGAGCCACTCAATCTTGAGGGTTACTGAATGAGGAGTGTGATATGAATGTAAGACATGATGGAAAATAAGATTATCGTTTTTTTTCTTTTAAATCTAAATTTTCTGTTCAGTGTTCATTTTTAAAATATTACAACCAAAGAATAATTGCTTTTGTACAACATTAAAAATTTGAGAATATTTATCTGCATTAACAGAATGAATCCTGAACGGGATTATTCAATAAAATTTGCAATATATATATATATATATAATGTGCAGTAATAAGAAAATTATTAACAATTACATGGGATGCCTTATATTTCCACCACTATATATATATATATATATATATATATATATATATATATATATATATATATAAAAAGCAGGATGTGTGTGTGTGTGAATGATGAATGCATGGCCACAAATTTTTGACGGATTTGCACCAAAATTTACATGCACATGCTCCAAGTTAGCGGGAAGGCCAAGACTGACTTTCCATTTCCCAACTCCCATCGATAGTGGAAATAATCGATTTTTTTCATGCTTCTACGGCAGTTTCCATGTAGTTTGCAACCATTTTCTACTGGCCAGAGTGAAAGCCTATAGTTGGCTGCCACGAATAGGCAGGAAGATTCTATTGGCCAGCATGAGAGCCAACAGCTGACTGACACAAATGTTAACTAGCATGCAAAAAAAAAAATCGATAGCTGCATTTGTCACAAGTGGGAAAAATTTAAATCTGCATGCCACTTTACTCCAATTGGCTCATTCGCTTGCTTAAACTCAACGTTGATTCTGATTCCACAGAACTGGGTTGGGTGTGAAAAAAGTATTTGTTGTTAACATTCTTTTTTCATTCGGTTTTTTCCAGTTCGAGTCCTTTTTTAAAGCTGATCGTTTTGTGTTCATTTTGTTTAGTTCTTTTTTCGTAACAGATTTAATGTTTAGTATAGAGCTTAGAAAAAAATTTGCAAAAAGAGATAGGCAAGAAGTAAGGCATGTAGCAACATCAGCACGGCAAAGGGCACTCCTTTAAAAGGCAAGGAAAGGCAAAAATATTTTTAAGTCAAGTGATAGCAATTGCTGTATGAGTCAGACGATTTTTGAATCAAGCACGGGCAACGCCAATGGGCCATGCTGCTAGTATATATATATATATATATATATATATATATATATATATATTACTGCACAAATTCCTCTAAAAATGTGTATGTGGTACCTAGATCCAATGGTATCAGTATTCATATTTGATTTTATAACAACTTTCCACCAAAAAAAAGTTAAGAAAAAAATGTTTTCGAGAGTTTCAGATGGAATTTCATTCCAATATTGTTTAATGCAAGATTTTAAAGTTTCTCTATCTTCAAATTGTCATTTATTTTTGTATACTCTTCTTGACAAAATTCCCCCTAGATTTTCTGTTGGGTTTAAATCTGGAAACTTAGTCAGCCAGTCCAAAACTTCAATATTTTTTTTGTCTTTCGTGAGCTTAGAGGTGTGCATAGCTGCTGTTGAAAAATGGCATTATTGGTGTCTAGACAATTCATAGATGGGACAAGACTTTTTTCCAACACATTGATATATCGAGCAGAGTTTTGTTTCCCTTCCATCTCTACTAAAACAGCCTTTCCAGACATAGGAAAAGCTCCTCAAACCATAACAGATCCTCCTCCAAATGGTCTTTTTGAAAACAGCTGCTTCTTTCTTAAATCATGCCAATAACATTGGCAGGCGTCGAACTCATCCAAATTAAACTTTTTCTCATCAGAAAATGCCACGGTTTCCCCTTTCTCCTTTGTCCAGGTTACTTTTTTTTTTTTATCCAATCTATGCGCATCTTCTTGTGTTTAGCAGTTAAAGCAGGGGCTGTCTTCCTGTTTTGATACACAATATTTGGCAATTCATGGAGAAATTTACGAACTCTTCTTGGAGTGATGGGTAAATTCTGAGATTTTTTCAGATCTCTTGAGCTTGATTGTCCTTTAGAAACTTCTCAAAAAAGTTGACATCTGGCTGCATTTGTAATTTTAAGTGGACGACCTGGACGTTTTCTGGTGCCATACGATTCAGAGTCCTTTAGATAATTTCTCACAACTGTTCAGAACCTTGACAGTTCTGTTGCAATGAAACTTATAGATTTTCCTTCCAGTTTATAGGCAGAAATTTGCCCTTTTTCATTTTCATTAAGAGGGGAGTTCCTAGGCATTTTGCAGTAACTGTATTCAATTATGAAATGTTTAAATAGAACTCACGTGGCTTAAAATCATTGATAAGACCCTTTTTACAATCTGCGCATTCACTTATTCTTCCTTTGGCATTCTCAAGTAAACCAGATATGCAAATTTTTCAAAACTGTCTTATAATTATTTCCACCCTTGATAACGAAGTTTTATAATGACTTTTTTTTTTTGGTGGAAAGTTGTTATAAAATCGAATATGTATACTAATACCCATTGGATCTAGGTTTTACACACAAATTTTCAGAGGAATTTGTGCAGTAATAAGAAAATTATTAACAATTTCATGGGGTGTCTTATACTTATTTCCACCACTGTATATACACAAAATTGGATTTTAAGCAGCAACCCCTCTCTTATACAAGTTTCATTAAAAACGATTGATATGGTAATGCAGTTTTTTGTGTTTTTATAATTTTCTTCTTTTCTGGATGTAAATTATGTAGAAATTGTTTGAATGTTCTGTATGTCTGATTGCTTTCAGCTATACTTTTAGCTTTTAAGATTCAAATTACAGTGAACCAATATTATTTATGAATTCTCATATCCCTTAAGGAACTGTGTTCTTGATCAAACCAAATTCATAAATAATTATATTGGATATACTACAACACGTTTAACAAGAAGACTCACATTACATCTCTCAGATCATAGTTCAATTAAGTCTCATTTAAATACACATGGTGACCTACCAAACTCTATCTGTAACATACTCGTTGATAATACAAATATAATAGCATCATCCATGTGTAAAAAAAAAAAAAAAAAAAAATTTAAAAATAATGGAAGCATTCTTGATAAAAAAGAAAAAGCCAACAGTCAGTAACATCAACTATGAACATGGCCACAATGTGCTAACCATGTTTGGAAAATAAAATATTCCTCTAACTCTAGATACATACATAAAAAAAAAAAATTCATCCCTGATAATGGATAAAAGTATAGCCAAGAACAACTCTGACTACTTGTATGTAATTTACATCTAGAAAAGAAGAAAATTATAACACAAGACTTAACTGCAGAACCCTGTCAGCTGTTTTTAATGAAACATATATTTTTTATTTAACTTACCTGAATGAGGTCTTTCAACAACATCATCAGCTGACTGGTAATGAGTGACTGTTGTAAATAATGTTGATTTGTCCAGGGGCCAGGAATTCTTACGGCAAGTAGCTTGCACTAATGCTGTTAGGAAGGACTCAGGGATGTGCAGGCCAGACAACCACATTACAATTGGTTCCCCTTCGTTAACCTAGGGAAACAGTGAAAACATTAACTAATGACCCAATTAATTATTGTCATTTATTTTGAACTAGCAAATATTAAAATATGACAAGCATTTCATTTTCCATAAATTTAACAAAAACGGAAATTTAGGATTTAAATTTAAATTCTTAAAAAATTTTGATGATTCTTAAAGTATGAACTGGAATCAAGTTCAGAGTAATAAATTTAAAAATTAATTCAAAATGAAAAATGGCTTCAAACATGATAAAGACAAAGTTTATCGTCAAAATGTTTATTATTAAGAGGAAAGACAAAAATAGTTTTTGATTATTTTATTAATTTTTTTTAATCCTTTCTAGCACATTCAAAATTTTAAAAATCAAATAATTGTCAAATTTTAATGAAATTTTCGCAAATGAATAAAATTAAATTTTTTTTTTTTTTTTTCACATCTGTTACCCCCATTTAGTTAGTTTTATGAAATTTTGAGAAATTAAAATTCCAGCCTCTTTGTATTTATATTAACTAAAAGCAGGACACCATGGAGAATTTAAATTAATTTGTTTTTGTCAAACGGAAACATCATTTACAAAAAATCTGTTTTAAATCGTAAAATAAAAAATGCAATAAAACTATGACATTATTTAATTAGAAAAGCTTTTAATTGCTTTTATAAATAAGATATATTAAGGAAACTATTGTCCTAAACTTTTTTCAATGACTAGTGTATTTTTACAAGAATTGTTTCGTTTTTTTTTTCATTTTTTTTAATTAGAAAAATCTATTGAGTTTTAAAATTTTGTATTAATTTTGGCTTTTTGGATGATATTATTATTTAAAAAAACTATATTTACTAATCATAAATGGAAAAACTTAATACAAATCATCAAACACCAATATCTTTAAAAGAATTTGGAATTTTTTTGTATATCTATAAATGTGCCAATTTTTGTAATTATGGGCGACCTTACACAACATTATCCGAAAATAAGTGATAACTATAGTAAATTTAAAGCAATAATTTCTAAAATTCAATAAAACAGTATATTATGGAGAATATTTTCCTAAATTTTTAAGATTACTGTGTACTTAGAAATTATGTTAAAAAAAAAAGGCACTTACATCATTTTCATAAATTATGTTTTACAGATAAAGTCTCAATAGAACAATATTAGATCTGTCATCACTCTATAAGCATGTCAATGCTTAATGTTGAGTTAAAAAATGCATTTCTGCAATATTTTAAACTCAAAGTAAATAATGTTTCAAATCAAATTATAATTTAAATGAGCTAATATTCCTGAAATAAAATTTCAGAAAAGTATATTTTTGAAAGATATTTTAATAAAGAGAATTACATTGTGACAAAAGATGGATAAAAAAAAAGGATGCTAATCAGCTATTTAAAAAAAAAAAAAAAAACTCAAACTCCTTCCAGACAATTAAAATTATTTTTTGAAATTCAGCAAAGTATTTTGCTTATTAGAAATATTAAATTGAATCTATCAGCTTTAAAATTAAAACTAAAAATAAAAGCTTCAAGAAAGACTTTTCATTTTTTCAAATTCATTTTAAACCTTGGGTATCACTTTTTCTTTTGGTGGTTCACTAAATAAAAATTTTCCCCTATTTCATTAGACTCCATGAACATTATCTGTCAGAACTCTCACAAAACATGATTTAATTTAGTGATATATCATCTAACACACACACACACACACACACACATTTATATATATATATAAATAAATTTAAATATACACTTTTCTATAAATTTTATTTTTATGAATATAAATATACACTTTTCTCTCAGAACAACTATAATTTCTCTGTAACAAGCTGAAAAATTATTATAAAGTCAAAAAAAAATAATCAAAATGTTTGATTTAATAATGAAAAAAAAAAGAATCAAAGTTTAAAGTATTTCTATATAAATTAATGAACTGATATTTTTATTCAATTCTTGAATCTCATCAGCCACATGTGAGAGATGAACTCAAATAAAAACAAAGAGAATTATAAAATTTTGCTAATTTTCATAAAGTATTTTAGGGCTGAAGACTACATTGTTTTTTTTGGGGGGGGGGTGTAATATAACATTTCACAAACCTTCCATAAAAATTTCAAGAGAGTGTTAGTCGGGAATATATCTGCATATTACTCATCCTATTTGAACTTTGTAGACCCTGTAATTGACATTTGTTTAAAATCCAATCTACATTTCATGTGAAATGATGTTTTTGCTTTATATTTCTATCTGTGCTGCATTTGATCGCACCCCAACATCGAGAAGATATTTTTGTTACATACCCAAGCTTGGTACTGTTTAAAACGTTTATCAAAGTGCACCATCCAATTAGCCAGAGACTTAAGTGTGTCTGGGGCAAGGCGTCGCCAGATGGACGGAATCATTCCATTGAACAGTGACCGGGCTACGTCATCCAATTCACTGCTCATACCCACTTCTCCTGCAAGAGCCTGAAAAATTCCACAATCTAAGCATTAATATCCAAACAAGAATAGATGATAAATTGAAGCATTTTGAAAATGTTAAAATGGAGTCATGAATACTAAGTCTTTCAATTCCAAATATGAAATCATAATGATTACAGAGAATTACAAATTATTTTTTTTTTTTTTTGCTCCCTGAAAGATCATTTTTAAGAATCTCTTGACAATAAAAAAAAAAAAACATATAAGTAAGTAGAATAATTCATTCTAATAATGCTTCCAATAATCATATACAAGTCAAATTTCATAATGTAATGTCTTTATTGGGTTAGCCAAAAAGTTTGCTTATTAAGTAGAAAATTTGCTTAATAAACCAAAGAAACTTTTTGGCCAAACCAGTGAATTATATTTTCAGTTATTTTTGTTAAAATTTATGCTTCTAGACTCATTACATAAAAAATGCAATAAGATTGCTAATAACAAAACCGTTTTTATCATTTCACTGTCCAATTTGGAAACAAATTGTAAAAATAAGTTTGTAAGGCTGAGAGGCATAGAAGAATTTCATCAGGATTATTGGCCTTGGTTTTTGAAACTTTTTTGAAATCCAAATAAAAAACAACTTCTGAATAAAATTTGAGCTTTATATTTAGGCTTCTTGACAAAAATGTTAAATGTAAAAGGTGAGCTTCTAATTCCACAAGTGTGAAGTATTCAGTAAAGATGTTGACTCTTTACTCTGAATGCTTCACATCATGATTACTGTCTGTCAAAGGTTAGTTTTTCTAAACATAATAGGCACCAACTTGAAAAAATTATGATTTTGCTGGCCTCTTGAAATTCATGAAAAAAACTTAGAAACAGTCTCTACTAAATTTGGCTGAATATCAAGAGATGGCACATACAGATCCAGCTTAAAATTTGTACGCAGAAAAACATTTCTATTGAAAAAAAAAAGCTACAAATAGAGCTTTTCTATTAATATTTTTCTCACTCCATATTTTTCTGGTTGAATACACAACAATAATTTATTCAAACATTTCCTTTTTCAAATTCTTGTTAGAAAAAAACAAAACAAAACAAAAACATGATAAACAATCCAATAGAAATAATCAACCTGTCACAATTCAGGGTTTTTGTTAGAGTTAAAGGCATCAAAGCACAGGTGTAACAATCTGATTTCTCACACATCTTTAGGAGATAAATTCCTTCCTTTTAAGTCCACTCAGCTGTTGGAGTTTTGTATGAATCTTGTCTCCAGCCCATCTTGAGTGAACTTTGGGGTTAGTGTTTCAGGATTCATGTATCCAGTTTGCCTTTAAATTGGAAAACATAAAAATTTTATAAATGATTTTAGATACTCATAAAAGTAGTCCTTTGAAGATTTTACCACCCATGTAGCTTGCTTCCAGAAAGACAAGTAGATGGAGTGGGTGGGGCCCCAGGATTATCCATATAAGCAGAGAGAGGCAGGAAATCAAGAGAAAAAGTGGGTCCTGCCGTGAGAGAAGTAGGTAGGTGACCAGAGCAGTTGAGGCTACCCAGCAGCCAGTGACAGGGCTGGTAGTGAGGAATCAAAAGTCACCAAGCCCAGAGTCCAGTGAAGTGAGTTGAGATAGCAGTTCGGCAGAAGGGGGAGATAGCCGACTAAGTGAGAAATCGTATTGTTACTACTTCCCAACCAGATAGTCTTGAAAAACAATTGTCTTCATTATTTTTGGTGAAAGTGATCACGCCCGAGAAGATGAATCTGTGCACATAGTGAGTTAGGTGTGTATGCAGATACACCCAAACGTTGGATATCATCACAGGTGTAGTGAGTGACAAACAATCAAAGAACATCATCACAATTTTGCTATAAATGGCATCACACAGGTTTCTCGTTCACTCAACTGATTTTTGACAAAACTTACCCGAATCAACATTTTCAGAGATTTACTCATCCGATCAATCAAATTATTGAATCTTTCTAATTCCTGTAATAAAACCACTGTTGTTGGTGATATGCTCAATCCATATTTTTTCTTGATTTTATCTAGGTCAAACAAGGGAGGTAACTTGTTGATGATATCGGAGGCTATTTTTCCAATGTAGTCTTCTCGACTGGTACCTGAACCAGTATCACCTGCGAAAATGAAAAGTTATCAATGAAAACTGTAATCAATATAGAAAATGCAACAGAGAGAAAAGAGGAAACTGAAATATTAGCAGAAATACTTATATATAAAGAAGAAGATAAGAATTTTAACAAGTGTTAAATTTGCATATAGAAAAGATAAAAAAAAATCTAATTTTGTAAAGCTACTGCTAAACCCAAAATGATGACCTTGGGGTCAGGTTTTGTTTCAGGATTGAAACAGTGTTACCACTAACCTCACACACCCCAAATATCACAAATCTTGGTCAGTCTTCTCTGACTGTAGTAATGCCAGACCCATGGAAATGTAGCCTCTGTCCTGGAGCTGCCATTTATTTTCTCTTTCATATAAAAAGTGGAAGAAAAAAAAAAAGTTGGGAATGAAGACAGGAAGAGTGATGAATGCAATACAAGTTTTGAATGGGAATCAGTGGTGGTTCTAGAGTCAGACTCCAGAGGAAATATAACAATGTGTCTCCAAGAAAAAAATGACAAATCTTAAAATCAAATAATGGAAGAAGAAAAAAAACTATTTCAGGAGTTGAATATTTGGAAAGAGGAAAACAAGAGATCTAGACCACTGATCAAATATATAGACTCACTTAGAAGAACGCACTCGTATAGTAATAGTACCTGAAATAAACATGTTAACCTGTAAACCTAATATGCTTTTGATTTATTTGAACAATTGTTCTCAACTAGATGTCATTATGGAATTTAAAAGACTTCAAAAATATAGCATTAACATCCTTTATGATGGTCATAGTGGATATTGGTGATGATTAAAATTGTCGCAGCAGTCACCTAGTGGTTATGAGTTCAATCATTGGATAAGGTAGTAAAATCCAAAGACTCTAGTTCAGCAGGAATGAACAAGAAATGACAACACAGCCACAAAACCAACACAATAATCAGCATATACAAGATAATCTCCTATCAGTTGAAAAATAGACATCTGAAGATGGTCATAGAGTACTTGGCTGAAACATTGTGTCTATTATAGTATTTGTAACAACCAAAGATGATGGTTAAGTTACTTGATTTTATGACATGTTAAACTGTGATAGGTTTATCAAATTCTGTATGGGGCACTCGCTGAGGAACAAACTCACAGTAGTTAATTTGTTAGAATGGCCCAGATTTAAATCCAGTTGAGAATCTATGACAAGCCATCCACTCTGACTAAGCTAGAGTTATTTTGCAAAGAAGAATAGGCAAAAATTTCAGTCTCGATATTTGTAAGACTGGTAGAGATATACCCCAAAAGAATCACAGGAAACAAGAGATAAACCTCTACTCCTGTTCAAAAGACCGGGAAGGAGTGTGAACTGAGTGATAGGCAAACCTATCTACTCCTATTGTATTTTGCACATTTAAAGCACTTTGTGCGTTTTGTGTTGATCAGACAATAAAAACATCATTTAAGTAAATTTGAATTCCAGTTGGTAACATTATAAAATGTGGAAAAGTCCAAGATTGGCAGAAGTGAATACTTATGTAAGGCACTGTATGTAACATTATAATATAATTTGTGTTTATGTGTGTTCATATATGTATTCATATATATATACATACATACATACAGAGTTCATCACAGAATTTTAAACAAAGTTGAAAATTTCTAATTATTCTAATCTTGCAATCATTTGCTATAATCTGTTAAATTTGAATCTGCATTATTCTTGTGACCCTGAGGATAATGCAACATTTTTTTCTGTACCTGAAGCCCAATTCCTAAATTGTTTGATGGCCCCAGTGAATACAAACTTCTGTTCTTACCTTCAAATGGACCAGAGATTGGTTAGAGTTTCACAACAGTGCTTTGATTAAATGCTTCTCATTACAATCAAACATCTTCTTGACCCTGCCATCTTTGATTTAGTCTCCATCATTTTCTCGATCATACAAAAAAAAAATTCTTCACAACTGTGATTAATTTATTCAAATGAACTATATTACAAAAGACCTGATTCCAAGCTTCAAAAATCCTAACACATTCAAAATCAAACAGCTTTGATATTTTTTCCTATACTGATTTGAGGCCATTATAAGCAACACCAGAAACTAATGACTTTTGAACTTATTCTACCATCAGAAGTGTCAATAACTTTAAAGCGGTAACAAAAATTTTCAATGATTAAAATTCCATTATAACTACTTAAAAATTTAATGGTTATCAATCAGTTGAACAGGCTTGATCTAAATGACCAACCTAAAAAAAAACAAAAAATCAAAAATACTAATGTATTTATTTCAGACAAGAAAATTAAAATTTTCACATAAACTTTTCTGGTACCCTTTTATGTCCTTGTTTATATTTTTATTAAAAAAACATTTTGTGTCGATTAATTAATAATATTTTCCTTAAAGAACATTTGCTGTCTAAATAGACAGAATTTATATAAATATACATATAAACATGGCATCCACGCAAATCTACAACACTGTCACTAAAATATGAAAAGAAGTTTACAAGTAATTTATTCTTGTTTTTCTAATGTAAATCTTTCTTTACAAACTTGAAAACAACAGAAATTGTTCTTGGAAGGATTTGTAAAGAAAACTGAAGCCAAAATCATCAAAGAGACATTAAAAAAAGCTTAATTATAGATTTTTACAGGAGAAATACATTTTTATGACACATTATGGAGACAGATAGGAGAAGCACTTGTACTGCACATTGGAACCGACTTTAATAAATATCAATTACAATAATTGTGAAACGGATTGGGGGGGGGTACCAAATTTGTTAGTAAAAAAAAACAAAAACAAAGCAGTCCAATAAAGTTTTGTATTTGTTATTTGGATGACATTTACATTCGCCTTCAAATTGTACAGAAATTCCAAAAACAATATTTGTATTAGGAAAACAAAATTTGTATCTTTGGCTGATTTCAACAAAAACATCAGCAACAGGATGTTTATCATAAAAATACACAATCAATAAGTGCCAATTTTTGACATTGTAAAATAACTTGAGTTAGAGTAACTGAGCTATATATCCCATTTACATATCTATATGTCTACCATTTGTCCATGCTTAGAATATTGCTGCCACCTATAGTCTAGTGCCCCTGCTATTTAACTTGAGCTTCTTGATAAAATCCAAAGAAGAATCAGCAATGTTATTGGTCCTGATCTGGCAGCTTGGCAGTTAGTCACTTTCCCACCAATGTAAGGTTGCCTCTCTGTACCTTTTCTATAAATATTTTTATGGTAATTGTTTAGATGAGCTGTTCACTATCGTACCTAGATTTTTTGAATTTAAATGCAGTACTAGACTGGTATTGAGATCTCATCAATTTTCAGTTGGGATGGTTAGATGTAGCCATAAATTCTATGCTAACAGTTTTTTTTCTCACTTGTGGGACTCCCTTTGAGCTCTGTGCTTTCCAGCTACTTTAATCTTCAAAGATTTAAATGCAATGTCAATCACTATGTACTGTCCTCCTGATTCTTCTTCTTTTGTTCTTGTACCTTAGCAATGTTGCTGTTTCTAATTCTTTTACACCCAGTAACCCTTTGTGTCTTATGGCTTTACTACCTTGCATTGAGTGATACCAATTAAAAAAAATATTACTCTTGGATCTTGAATAAAAGGTGGGGATTGGAATAAGCATGGTATGGGGAATCTGAGAAGGGGGTACAATTAGTCTAGAATTTAGTGTATTTAAATGAAGACATGAAAAGTAAACATGCAACAAATTATTTAATGCAATTAAACAATATTTTTCTATATCAAAATTTTTGACATAAATTAAAATTTCATGAAGCCTCTGTTTCTAATGTCCTTTACGTAGAAAAGAAATGGCTTACCTCCTGGAACAAAATGCATTCATACATGTCTTGCATGCAAAATATGTGAAAGAAAATATGGCCAATCCAAAAGCTACAATTTAAGAACAACTTGATGTTGAAGCTCAGATGTTTTGTGGGACGGATTTGTGGTTTATGCAAATTTCCGAGCCTCAGTTACTCGATAAAATGAGTATGAGTGAGAGAACATGAGAAAGGCAGCAGATGCCAACAAATCGAGTGGTCGTGCTTTGTGTGTAGAGTTTCATGGTAGTTTCACCGATTGTGACTGTAAAGAAGACAGGGTACAAATGGTACTTCAAACAGCCACACCTTTTTTTTTTAAACTTTATTTATTCTTTTCTTTATAGATTGTCATGCATTGTTGTGCATAGACACAAACTGATTGCAAACAGGTACAAATAATGTCAAAATTTCGTGCTCATCAAGCACTTCACATGTTCTTTTCTCAGCCAGTATCTTTTCATTTATTTTTAAAATAACAAAGACAGATGGCATGTTACCCGATTAAAACATTATTTTGAGTTGTTATGATTTGAATTAATTTTTAGAATTGAATGAATTATAATTTGAAAGAAGTTTTAGATTCTGTATCAAATCAGTTTTGCAATGATCATTTTAAGAAAATTGTAAGTTTTTCTACCAAATTTCCATGAAAACAGTGTGGGGTGGGTAGGCTCAAAGCTTTACATCAACAGGAGTGGGGGGTGGTGGGATATGATTATTATAAACCTGAGTAATAAAGTAGTTTTTCTCTCACGAGGATTCATCAGGAAATATCTGAATGATCACCTTATTCTCGTTTGTGTCTGTAAACCACAATAAACAAACAAAAAATGATCCCCTCATCAAAAATTGTCAAATATTTTCTCAATAGTAATTATAACAGAATAAATATAACAGATTTGTAAAGGTTAGTAGATGAGTCTAGCAAATCATTACTACTGAGGAGTGAGTATGATTCTCACTGAG